GGATCGTATACCCCACCAGCGGGACCCTCACAGGTGATAATGGGACCGGCAAGAATGTTGATGCCGCCACCACAACAGACTACACCGAGCCGATTTACGGGACACGGAGGATTCGGCGGAATGCTAGCGACTCCGGTACAGTCACAAAGGTCATCTCCGATATTACCGCCTTTTCCGGAGACGGGAGGCTTGTCACTGTCAGACATCGGAGCGCCTCGCATGAGAACACCGCAGCAACTTGGAGCGCAGCGCCCTCATCGTAATTCGCCACACAGAGGAGGAAGGCGACCGAGAGGTATCTTACCGTCACTGGGTCCCAATTTGGATCAGACTGGACCAGATGGTTTACGGCTTACGCCCCCAGGTGAACCTTCAATACATGAATACGCACCGAAGCTTCCGTTGGATTTGAGAGATGATGACCCGAACCTGAATTTAATAGTGGATAAAAAGGAAAAACTGACGGAAGCCGACTTAGAAGCCATTCGCGACTTCAATCGGAAATGCCGTGACCTTTATAGAATCCACATGCGAGTTGAAGACGAACACGCATGGTATGGAAAGTTAATCAGCTTGGAAGCTGTTATCAAACCATGCCACATTGCCATGAAAGACAAGACGAAACAGGTTGAAGCAAAGCGCAAGGAATACGCAATCCAAGTTGCATCGATGTGGCAATACCATCCGACAATAAAAGGTAGAAGGTGGCCGGAGACTGTCGAAAAGATCCTTAGATATCTCAAGGTGTTCCCAGAAACAAGACAGACGCCGACTACCAGCGTCGCGGGACCATCCAAACCAATAGCGGAAAGGGACGCCCCGGTCGATGAAATGACGGATGAGGACCTGTTGGCAACAAAGAGAAAGATTGATGCCGAGTTAACTGAACGAGCAGAAAGATCACGGGCCAGCTCGACTGCAGGATCAACACGAGGACGGACCAGTTCGGTTACGGAACCGTCTAGCGGGACAGCGAAAAGTGGAAAAAGAGTACGATCACCGACGATAAGCCCAAAAGAAACTGACAAGAAAGGGCAGCGAACGAAGAAGGCCACGTCAGGTAAAGCAACACCAGCTGAGCCGGCAAAGCCACAAGGCCCATTCCCAGTGGGTAGAAAGAGTGCGCCACCCACACCGGCTGGAACAGGAGGTCAGATTCGATTCCCGAAGTGTAGAAGTTTCACGGCCAAGTACACTGGGGAAGACCATAAGGAACGAAAGGTTACGGCACGTATAGTCGATAAGAAAACGAATAAAGAGATCGACTCGTATAATCCCCTCGCGGATAGGTCAGTTAAGGATGCCATTGGGGAAGAGTCAAAAACGGTAGTCAACGAGGCGCTACAATTTATTCCCCCAGAAGAACGTCACAACCCAAGAGTTCTCATTCAGATGCTGAAACACGTGGTATCTAAAGTTGCGACTGAAGAAGATGCATGGATCCGTATTAAAGTGGGCACAAATGAGGACCACTTGGCATATACATACACAACGGATGGCAAATTGTTGACCAAAGAGAGAACTCGCTCAAAACCGACGGCGGATCCAGACCCTAAGAAACGATCGTCAGATGATTATGAGTCGATCCCAAGATATACAGAGGCGACAAGCAGAAAGGTTACCCTCAGACTTTTCGCCGGCAACGGAGAAGTAGTGGAGACTATTACGGCAGTGATAGTTGACCCAGTAACAGGAGATCCGATTCCGTATGCCCCATGGGATGTATCAGAAGAGAGCGAACGAAATGCGAATCAGGCAGCCATTGAGCAGCTATGGGATCTGATACCTGAAAGTGACCGAACAGATGCCGTGGTTCAAGCGAGCACACTGATCAGCATGATGCGGCATCGAGCGGAGATCGACGAAGCACATTTCCGACTCACAAGACGAATGGAAGACGGATCGTACAAAACGGTATTTTACGACGCTAAGAAGAACCCTTTGTGGGAGGTCGCTTCACAGGGACAGCTGAAAGAGACAGCGCATTTGGAAATTCAGCCCCCGGCACAGGAAGGTGGAGCCGGAGAAATGGAAGGGACTCCAGTCACAGAAGTCGAAGAAATTGGAGGCGCCAGACGTTCATTACAAAGAGTACTTGAGATCGCCCAAGGAAGTCATGATCACCTTCAGTGTGATGAACCTAACTGTGCCCATTGTAATCCACCCGGTGACGATGAACCAGAGTCGGAAGATGAGGACTCAGCTGAGGAAGAAGAAGGCTCAGACGAAGAAAAGGCCGACAAGCATAAAAAGCCCTCAAAAGTAAAGCCCTCAAAAGCCAAGCCGAGGGATGCACCCAAATTGGAAGAAGCTATGAACCGCGAAAAAACGGTTAAGAAAGGTGATTTCCTGAAAAAACGAAGGGAAGAAGAAGATAAGAAGAAAAAGAGCGGTGATGAAAGCGATAGCACAAGCACCGGGAAGAAGAAAAAGGAAGGGTTAAAGAAAAAAGATGAACCAGCGCCTCATGATGTTGAGATACTGGACGAATCAGTTGGTGAGGCTCAAGAAAGGTCGTCGACACCTACAACTTCAAGGAAAGTTATCCAGTCGGCTACATCAAAGGTCACTGAGCCTGACTCGCCAAAACCCAAAGGAAAGGTCATAGCGGTGAAACAAGTTATCCCCATTGTTATTTCGGCATCCACGCCAAAAGAGCGCAAGGATAAACAAATTCGTGAAAAAGTGAAGCGGGAGACGTCCCGTGAATCAGAAGCATCGGAAGTGAGCCTCCCAAGCACTTCGACGGTCAGTGCGAGGTCACATACGGATTCGAAGACAACCCGGTCAAGGACCACAGAACCAAGAAGCCTAGCGGAGGCCCTGGACAAAGGAAAAAAAGCAAAGAGCGAACCCGTTAAGACCAAAGGAAAGGGCAAGACAGTTACGAAAATCGATGCATTGGCGCTGGTTAATTATACTGAACCAGATGGAGAGAGCGAGCTGGACTTCACCTCGGATGAAGAATTTGACGGTCCAGATAATGATAACTTGACCACGGTCGATGAAATCATTAACGCGTATAACGGAGCGGAGAAAAATTTCACACGGATAAGAACAGCATCGGTGACATCGAAATTCAAAGCGGGCCTGAAGACATATTTGAAGAAACAGCGTCGTAGCTTCACTAAACAAAAGTTCGACGTCGTATTGGAATTCGCGCGGAACGCAGGAAAACTTATCCAGAAGCACCCGAGTTTTTCGTATGAGGCCAAGTTGTTCAGACCAGCCAGTTCGGATAAAGCGTTGACAACTCCGAACGAAGCCGTCCCAATGCGAGTAGAAAGGGCAATCGCAGGGATGACAAGCCCGTTAGGGTCAACGAGTCACCGGATCAGCCAATACATCAACGCAGTTTGGAACGATGGAAACGGAATGATAAAAGAAATCGATACGGCAACTGAGCGTGTACTGCCGAGACTGATTAAACAGAATGTCCTTTCTACAACAAACGCAAATAAAGGCCACCCAATTCGATACACGAGAGTTGGTTTGATACCACCGGAGAGGCAGATCCACTGTCATATGTCTGACAGTCAGGATATGGAAAAGGTCATAGTTCCATTAAGCGGAGACCCGTCAACTCCGATATTGAATCAGATTGCACAGAAAACGGCCGAAGAAGAAGCGGCGAGGCTGAAATCACAAGCCCCGAAAGTGTCGAGAAAAAAAGGACCAATGGACTCGGAATCGGGAAGTGATGACGATACTACAATAACGGCTCCTTCTGGACCTGCGACAGAAAAAGACGAACAGTCGAAAGGTCAAAAGACATCTGGAACTACCGCAGAAGTTCAACCGAAAGGTCATGAGACTTCAGACAAACGGGAGAAAGAAAAGGTCATGCTCCCGATGGATAAGGCAGCGGCAGAAGCTGTAGCGTATTCGGCGCGACAGGTGTTTCACAAATCACTGTTCATACCATTAAAGGAGGCCTTTGAGAAGGAACGATCGAAGTCGGCTGGCGATCTAAAAGGTCAAGAGACTTTGCCGCAAGAGGAGAAGAAGATAACCGAACCAAAATCAGCGGGGTCATCATCAGGATCATTGGCAAAGCTGAGGATTGACGAAACAGCGACAGCTGACCCAACGGACTCGGCATCCTCCCAGAAAAGTAGCGGTACACCAGCAAAGGAGGCTACAGATTACACGCTAGGACCAGCATTGGACGTGAATAATCGTACATGGAACGAAGTCCAGGCTGCGCTCCAGATCATTCGAGAAAAAGAAATGCTTGGTACAGACCTGAAAAGACAAGTGGCAATGAATACGAATGGAAGGTCGTCACTTAATATGACCGAACGAGCCTTGAAACGAGCATATAAAGAAGGAAAGCTGGGATGTAAGTACAACAAGGACAACAAAGTTGTCTACTACCTTCCGAAACAGGGTCAGGAACGAACACCCAGACTGAAAATGGAACTGGAGGCCTGGAAGATAGCCATCACAGACGTGGCCTTGGACGCCATCGGTGGTACCAATGGAGCGTCACGGAATGACCTTTCGAACTTCATGGCCGTCACTTATGAATTGGGAGAGCTGAACATGGAAAGCGATAAGGAGTGGATTAAGAATGCCGTCGAAGCCCTGATCGCAGAAAACGTGCCCCATATTAATCCAGATGGCCGAATTGATTTCAAGCCGTATAAACCACCGACGAAAGAATCCGAATGAACTAATCGATTGTAATATGCAGCGAGTAATGAACCCTGCATATTACAGAAAAAGCATAAAATAGTTTAAAACGAAAGAGAAAAAGTGTTATGAAAGGTCACCTGAAAGCAGTACTAGGACTAATAGAAAAGGTCACAGTAGTCAGAGAGCGCTGATAACGTGAGAAAGGTCACCACGTTACAGTGATAGAAAAGGCAGCAGGAGCTAGGAAAGTCTCAGCTCAGTAACGGAATAGGCGTAAAAATGATAGAAAGCCTTGATAACGGATAGGAATGGAAAGGATTAACGTGGAGAGGTTAATATGACGGATTGTTTTATAATTGCAGATTGAAGAAGAAAGATGGCACAAAAAGGTCAAGCCACTCCTAAACGTTCGGGAATGGCGGCAGACATCGATCAGTTTACGGGCTATAATTCAAAGTGTCCGGACTGCTGAAGGAACAACAAAAAGGTTGATAAGAAATTTCCTTGCTACACTTGTATTCACAAGCTGGATGACCCGCATATGGTTTCACTCGTTGGGGTCTCGGAAGCCAAACGTGGGAACTTGGACGTTTTTCGAAATCTCATAAGCGCAAGAAACTACGGCAGCATCCCAGTAGAAGAGCGAATGCTATTCGAAGATCGTTATCGAGAAGCGATCCGGAACAATGAACCTGGTTGGGATGACACCTTGGAGCCGTTGAAATGTCCACAAACAGACGCATATCGGAAGAAGTTCGAAGAAGACCAAGCGAAGATGCGAGCTCAGCAGATGGAAGACGAAATCCGCGCGAAGATTAATGCGGAAAATAAGAGAGCAAGTGAACAGGCTGCACGAGAGGGGTTGCCCAGTACGTCGAGTTCAACCGGACCCACAGCCAGCCTAAACGAAGAAGAAGTGCAGCTGACACGTCAGTCCCTCATCATACAAATCGAAACGTTAACGAAAGATCCAGCTGCTATGCCAGACGAGTTATTCAAAACGCTGTTGCGGGAGAAGAAACGACTGCAAGACGGGTTCGCGCCGGCACCATACATAAAGAAGGAAGTGGAAAGACGTATGGATGAATTACGTAAATCTCGCCGAACCGAAAGCGATGTGCTGCAAGCACTCAGAAGCTTCAAACGGGACGAAGGCTTCATACGACCACGGTCGCCTCCGCATAGAGAAAGGTCACGCGGACATTCACGAGAACATGAGCGGACTTCTGAACGACAGAGAGAAAGGTCACGCGAACACTCTCGTGAAAGAACACGTGACTACCGCAACGAAAGGTCACGCGAACGTTCTCGCGATAGAGATTACCGCGGCGGAAGAGGATGGGTGCGCCATGGAGACGAAGTTACAGAAATGAGTATTCAAAGGAAAATCGATACGGCGAAGATTTTGGCGGCGACGAGAGGACGTGAAGAAAAACGGCGTGCGGAGACATTCCGTACAGAACCTGAAAAGCAAGGGCATCAGGTGCCGATGGGAGTTGCATTCCGGAATCGCAATGTCAGAATGTCAACACCTGAAAGGTCATGGGATAAAAGACGCGAACACACGCGGAATCGAACGCCCGACCCACAGGATAAAAGTTGGCAACAGAGAGCTGCATTTTATGCGACCTTTGACTCGGGTGCAAGCAAAAGGTCATCAAGCGCAGAGCGGGAAGATTCACCCCAAAGTATCAGCGGGTGGAGTCAATGGTTCACGTAGTGGATCCAATTGTGAGTGTCGTACAAGAGGACGATGCGATGGAAGGGACTAGTTCAGTTATGGAAACCGCATCTCAAGAAAACGTGACCCATCGACGAAATGTGATTTTGGATAGTGACCTTCAACCGGCTACACCGGCGAGTAATGAACCGTCGCAGCCTGAGTCAGGAGAGCGACGTGAACTAGAAGGTCAACGTGAACCGGATAATCGTCAACAGGCTGATCAGCGACAGAACTCCAGATTCGATAACCGACAACCGGATACCATCGATATGGAATACAATACGACTGATATTGATGAGCAAACGGTCGAAATTTGTCGATACTTTGGACTCGAATCGGACTCGGTTGAAGCCAACAAAATCAGCACAATTCTGAGACAGTTGAGCCAATTCTTACTCGACTCGGGTTATGCGAGAGAGATTAAACAGGGAGTGGAACAAGGAACTTTCCGTCGATTATTTATCCACCGCGATTCGGTAAGGGACTGTTATCTCCCTATCCGACGGAATGGGCTACACAGTTTGGTGGATTTGAGTTTATTGGATGTACCGCTGGATACAACTGACCCAATCGGGATGACACAATTCTACTACGCAGATTATCCCGAACGACAAGAATACGTGGCTCAGTTTGTTTTACGACATGTGAATCCAGCCTTTAAGTTGCTCGCAGCCAGAGCATCGATAGGATTACAAGTGGATCCTACAGATTATGCCGCAAAAGAATGGGGCAAAAGGTCTTCGCTGCGAGACTGGCGCATTATAAGACGCAGAACCAATTGGTATCTAATACCATGAGAGATGACATTCCACCATTTTTCCGAGCTCATGTCGCTAAATTGGGACAACCAATGGAACATATCAGCATAGCGCACACAGCTCGAAAGGCGCTGAAGAAGTGTAAGACACGGATGGAAAAGGGCAATTTGACACAGCGTCATGCATCCCAAGTCGAAGAAAGGATCAATAAGATCAAAGATTCTCTAGGAAGCGACTATGTTGAACCGGTGGACGGCATCGAAACCTACATCGATGAATTCCTGGTGAAGAAAAGCGACCGTCGTCCAGAACGTGCTCCTAACCAGATGGGACGACGCGGTATACGGAACCAGCAACTCCGAGATAATCTCGCTGACGTACAACGGCGACTGGCAGCTGACCCTAATAACCGGAGACTGCGGTTAGAGGAGAACGACGCACGGCACCAACTTGAGAGAGTCAAGCGAAGCCGCCAAGGGAAAGGTCGTGGCCAGCGCGAAGTTGACCCGGCAAAGGTCATGGAAGTTGATTCAACGGAACCAATTGACCGGACATCTGATCGTAATCAACCCGAAAGCGCTAAGAAGCGTCCACCAAGAGATGGCGAGGGCGATTCAAATGAAATGGAATAGTGCTGATCGTTAGGATCACACTATTAAAAGGACGTCTACGGCACTTTGTCGGTACGTCACAAAGATGAAAATGGTGTTGTATAAAGGGCGCGACATGTGACATATTAATATTAACTGTATTTGTGTATTTGTTGTTTGCAGCGTTTATAGCACAGAATTGCCTAAAGAAATCATGTGGAATCCTATTGGGGTTGAATTTGATTCGGTTTATAAAGCCGGCCCCAAGGGAGTTGCTACGGCAGTTAGCCGGCTCTCCCCTCTAAGCGACTCAGTGTTATAAATGCACAAGAGAAACTACGGTAATCAAGCCGGATCTCTTGAATACGAAACGGGGCCACAAGCGGTGAAAAAGAGAAAGACAACAGGTGGAATACTGATGAAGTTAACTTAATGCGGCAACCAGCCGGCCTCATTAGAGTTGTTACGGTAAAACTGTGCCGGCACTCTCCTTAAGCGATTCAGTATTACAATTGAAACGAGAAAAACTACGGTAATCGAGCCGGATTTCTCGTAATAATACTAGCCACAAGCGGCGAACAAGAGCTAAAGATTAAATGTGGAAATTTCATGGGGTAAACTCAATGCGGTAACCAGCCGGCCCCATCGGAGATGCTACGGTAAACTTGCCGGCACTCTGGCCGTTCGAGGCATGTTGAAGTTGGATGTGCGACGCAAAGGTCAAACCGAAAAGTCTTACCAGGGAGGCAAGCAACGAAGTGCTTGAAAGCCGCAGAAAATTGGCTAAGTTCCTCCATGACCTTTAATGGAAGTTTTGAAGAGTTGGATGACCTTTGGGATCATTACCGCCCAACAGAGTCACCGCATCGAAAACCAAGTCGCATGACCTTTTGGGACCATTAACCCGAACGTGTCGCACATCTCAACGGATCATCTTCATATGGGATGACCTTTACCAGGGAGGAAGCGAACTACGCTTGTCTACATGACGTCCTCCATGACCTTTATGGATCTCATTTTGAAGTCGTACAATTGATACGCACCATATTCCAAAGATGAAGCAGTATTCCTAAGTCGTACTTGATACGCACCTGATTCTCAAGCGGATTGTGATGAAGTCGCATTACGGATGCGCAGGATTGCTCAACAGAGCGGAATGGGCCAAAGTGCAGAAAACGGTGGACAGGACCTGTGACCTTTACGAGTCAGAAATGGAGGATCCTAGTCTACATTTGATTAATACTTTTGTTGATCTTATAACTGTTGATCTGTTTTATGATAGTATTTTTGTAATTGGATCTCTTTATTCACATCGTGTTAAATGGAATTGTGCCTTATGGAATTGATGTGATATGATAAATGGAATAAGAGAATTTGATGTTTTCGAGCACACAGACACCGGCGACCGTCTTTTCGTGGATTCGGGAGTGTGTCCAGCCTCACAGGAGCTCGGCATCCCCCCAGAGGCATGTGAGACGAGGCTTCACTAGCGTTCACGCCCGTGGCGCTAGGCGCTACGCCTTTGGATTACGGTCTGTGTTGTGTCTCGCTTCTGATTGGCTTGTGTTCTGTTAGTGGGCGCGGCATAGCACGTGCTGCACAGTGTTACACACTGTTGAATAGGCTCCACGTTTTACGATCGAGCTGCGCCGATCACTTGTTGATTTCTGTTCTCCAGACTTTCAACATTATTAAAAGTCAGCGATTACGGTGCGACGTTTTGTGTTTCCGCATAGCTCGCGACCCAGATCGTGTCGCTCACTCCACGGGATAGATTCCGTTTCTGTCTCCGTCTGTGGATCCATCCTGGATCTACCATTAGAACAGGGTGGTCGCGCCAAGTGTGGGCAGTGACAACAATTCCTCCAGTGTTACAGTTGAAGTCTCAAATTTTTGTATAATTTTTTCATGACATGACATGACATTTTTTCTTGAATTTTTAGCTCTATGCCTCCTGGTATACTGCAGCTTCCTTACTGGAGTTTATATGGAAAAAGTAAAAGAGCAGGCAACGGGATCCAAAATATTACTTTTAGTTTTTTAGCAAAAATCGGGCTGCTTAAAAAGAAAACATCGTGTTCAACCAATAACATTTAAAGAATATTAAGCGTATAATAACAGACAACAGATAACATAGTTTTTTTATAGTGCCTTCGCAGTTTCGTTTTAAGTATAGCTATCTTGCCCCCAAGCGATCAGTGATCTAGGCAACCAACCACTTTCTTCAGATGGTTCTTTTTTAGCATACATGTCTATGGGCGTTACATTTTCCTTCGAACGTACCACCGGCACTGATGGCGAAAAATTTTTTCGCTTACCCACAGAGAACATCCTTTGGATCACTCAATAGTTCTCCAAAAAGTATGTTAGAAAACATCACGTGAAATTTTTTTAAAACGGCTGGTATAACTTTATAGGCACCCAAAAAATGACCGCTATTCTTCCCCCTTAAGCTAGACTCCGCCCCTTGCTAACCCGTTAGAAGATTTTGTTTTTAATATTGCTGAATTTCCAATGACAATTTACCCAAGAAAAATGCAAAGTAAATATCAAAACCATTTACAGAAATATTTTTCAGCTTATTTTATGCAACTGCCCACACTTGGCACGACCACCCTGTAGTATTGCACAGCACTGTTTAAGAGCTATGCCAGTTGCTAAAGGATTGCGCTTTAGGCTGGCAGTTTTCGTTTCGACCGCACATTTCTGATCTGCGCCGGAATGGCAACCCCCGTAGACGTTGTTTCGCACGTCACCAATTACAGGAATTACACAGTGCGCCAAACTACGCATACGCGAGGCCACTAACTGACCGCAGATTTTACCGAGCACACTACTCTTTTTTATCATGCATGTGTCTTTCGCTTTGTAGACCTTGGTTTTCTGTTAATTTTTCATGTGCCACCGGTATTTGCAGACAGCACGGTTTGCAAACGCGCCCTAATTAAAAATTACAGTAGGAGCACGCGTTGCTATGGAGCAGCCACGACTTCCCGGCTACTTGAAGGCTACTGACTTCCAACCACCCTCGGGCGGCGTAGCGGCGCAGATCAGAAATTTGGTAAGGCATTAAATAGTTTACTTTTTTGATAACGTCTCTGTTTGTCTCATCGCGCTGGATAAGAATATTCCATGCCTTTTGTCAATAATCTACAGTCTTAATCCAATCTCAAGCATTCAAAGATTTCGGTTCTTCGAGTAGCTTTTAATAACAATTCGACGTTTTTCAAGGCGGTAACGCCAATCTGTTACCCCGGCACGAAGACATTGTGGATGACTATGGCTCTATGTGTATCGCATTCAGTCAGGAGCGACACTGGATAACGCCTGGACTATGCCTCACCAACCGGCAAAGATCCCACTGAAATTCCCCCAATAGACGCCAGCGGCCACGCCCTATTTTGCCGCTCCAATTTTCGGCGACGTATTATGACGCCTCCTCAAGTGGTGACATTGTCGTTGTAAACTAATTAAGATGATGAAATTTAAACATAAAAAAGCAACAGTAAAGTAATTTATAAGTTACATAGCCATTTACCACAACCCAGCACCGCACACTGCACATCACCGCATAGCAGGCGGCACAGCAATTTAGCATTGCGTGGCCACTCTCCGGTTTGCTCCCGTTTACGTGATTATGATCCATACGAGTCATACAGTATAGCGGCGGAAATTTTGTTTTCCGTCATTGTGTAGAAACCAATGGCTTTGTACTCGTCATTATTATAAGCAAATTTAAAATGCTGCCAGTCGTTAACGGAAAGCGCTTTATTCTGGCTGTTTTTCTGTGCGCCGTATACTCAGTCTGATACTGATAATTCTCTTAAAAAGATCTCTGTTTATCTCATCGGAAAATACAATGCCATAACCTTTGTTGATAGCCTTTTTTGATTTAGTTTTAACCCAATCGCAAGTTGCGATTCGCAACTGCTCAAAGAGTGATCAAAACAAAACCGTTTTTTGCGCTTGTCGTTCCATGATTTCTTTCAAGAAGCTGCTGTTAAAAATTCGACTGTTTTCCAGGACGTTCACTGCTGGACGCGCCAATCTGATGCCGCGGAACAAAGACGACATGGAAGAGTATCGTATTCAGCCAGGAATGGCGCTAGGCAACGTCTACTTGAGTCAGTTCAGTGCCCATTAACTGGCAAAGACCCCATTGAAATTCGCCAGCGACCACGCCCTATAACGCCGCAACAGGTTCCGGTGACGGACAAGCATGTTGACGCGGACAGCACGAGTGCACTCCGAAGAGCACCTGCAGCCCACGCCCACCAGCAGTTCCACGATCGCAGCGCCCTTTACTTGCCTCGTTAGCATTCACTGGCGGAGAGTCACCGAAACGTTACATCATGCTTTTCCCTAGCTACTTTTCACTGATAAAGTCAGCACACTCATACTCGGGTGTTCTAAAAGAGTTCACTTACTCTTATGGATCGCCAGACACGATAATGTGATGCATGTAAGTAATAATGTAGAGCGATCCACATAATGCAGTGCAAACTCGAATTAGTCAATCTTCATTTAGTGTAATAAGGGAATTAAAGCTTATTCCGTACATGGCTGTTTCGCGCTTCTTGTTGCAGACAATAGGATGTCCCATCCAGCAGCATTAAAACTGATTCTGGACCTCATCAAAAATTAGATCAAAACTGCAAAGTATGTAAAACTCAGTAAAAGTACGTATAATATATAATAAGTAACTTTAATAATACGGTACAGCATGACGGTGGCTGCTGGTTGGCCAGCAGCACAACTAGAGTAAATTTAGGAATAAGTAGAACAGTAAGTAACACAACAGGAAGTTGCAAGGACTTTAGCGACAATGAACGGAAGTACATATGACAAAAGGGGTTCACGAGACACCACCAAAACGATCAAAACTTTAATGTGTATCTGAAGCAAACATCTATCCAATTCAATACGGGTATCGCTGCTGCTAATACGAGTAATACAGTTCCTACAAAACGCTTTAAACATTTAAACCGCAGTAGCATAGTGCACGATTCCGCGCCACAGATCTCGTGAGTATCCGGCGAACACGAATTTACGATAAGAATCATCCAAAACTATCAAACAGGATTATGTCGAGCCAAGTACAGTAAAGTTATCCGCTGTAGAGTCGTCATTAGAACGTGCAAATTGTCCCGCTGGATGTAATCGGATCCAGTGTCGCCACCGAAAGATCAGTGTTAACAGTGGGAATGCCGTTTTCCGAAGTTCCAACACACGGGCCATAGGAGGTCACGTGCACGTCCAGAGTGCAGGTGTCGCTCTGCTGCACGGTGGGGGTTATGGTGATGCTGTAGCAGGGATTGCCATCCGACGACAGCGTCACACCGCCGCCCAATGCGGGCGTCTGGATGCCAATATTTCTGCAGGCTGATGTTGCCACTGACGAGCTCACCACCGTCGTCACATCTCTACGATGTCGGTGAAGGATTACATCCTCGGCATCCCGCAGGTCAATAGGTTGTGGCGCGGGAAGCGAGAATGCTCGTTCTGCCTCTTTTACGGCGACAGCGCTGGTGCCTTTCTGATCATCGTTTTCCGATGTGGCCACCGACGATTCTACCGTCAGGTCTCTGGGACGCCGAGCAACGACAACATCCCCGGCAAACAACTGGCCCGGCCGTTCTGGCGGGGATCGCGTCGTCGTCAGGGCTCGGCGGCGCCGGTCAGTGTGACCATTCCCCGAATCCGGCACCGACGAAGGCTGGGGATTCTCACCATCCAGCTTTGTTGTGTAGGTCGTCTGTAATGTTCGAACGCACATGGCATCCACGACGGTCAGCGGCAACGCCGTGGACAAGCTCAGGCAGGTTGGTGCGCAGACCATGCCGGCGCAGGTTGTCACGGTTTCAGTGATCTTGCGCCAAAAAGTGCTGGCCTGGCAGGCTGATGGCGCTGCAGCTGTGGCACCGCTGGTAGGCGTTGGCTGGATGCAATAGTTGCAGCTGCTCTTCGGAGTGTAGACGTGCTGGCCGCGCCACGGTGCGGGTCCGTCACCGGATCCAGGAGCGGGGTGGTAGGGCGCGGTTGCCGGCGTCCATTGCGGAACTTTTACTGGGTTCTTCGCTGACTGTTGAGCGTAATGTGGGCGGGTTTTCAACGATATTCCCGGTTGGATGATATAGTCCACGGCTGTGTCACTGTAACGGGCCATCAGACTTCCTTGTGCTCCCTGTAATCCCAACTGCAAAGCCAACAATATAATTTATACAGTAAAATAATAATTCAAAGAAATTAATAAATAAATCAGTTAAACAATTCAGACTACAAAGTTCGTTATTGTCATTCATGGTATTCTATTTAGGTTTGTGAATCATTTGAAGCCAATTTTACCTTAAGAAAGTGCGAATTCTGTACTGTAACTTTGCTAACGCACCAAATGCGGCTTCTTAATTTGATGCTGAAGTACTGTATCTCTTCGAAAAGAAATAACCACAGATGCAGCTTCGCCGCAGTGCGATGGTTATCTGCGCTACTGTATACAAGCAAAGTCCAAAGTTTGCGCATAAGTCGCACTTGTGTATACGCTGGCATATTAATCATTTCACAACGAAAACGATTAGTCCAAACTTCAAAGTACTTGCATCATAATAAGGATAAGTTGACTACTGTTGAAGCGGTTGAATACAGAAAATCTGCAGAAACTTACTAAAAACTGCAACGTATATAAAGATTGTCATTTTATTTGTTTGTTTTGACAAGCTATCACAGAAGCAAAATTGGGGAAATCTTACCGGAGAAATTCCGACAATAAAAAGGAGAATAATAAAGCCATGTGTAACGGACAACATTTCCCCCGAAATTTAATACGAGAAGTGACAAAACTGGCGAACAAGACACATTGGCAAATAACGACAAGAATGATCTGCGATTCCGGTCATTAGTCTCATTAATAACGCTATGCCGTTTAACTCACTCAGCAAACGGTCTAAATATGCTACTCGTATGCTATCAAATTAGTATCAATGCTGCTGTTTCTCTTACAGGGTAGCCGGTATTTATATACAGTAGACTGTGCGCATGTGGCCGTTTTTTTGCCTCGATACACAATAAAGTATGATTTAATCGGCGCAACGTTTTCGCGGCAGTAGGTTGCTGCCATTTTTTTGCACAAAGCCATAACCAAACATTCATTTGAACATCCAAACAACACAAAACAGCTTATGCAATACAATGTATTTCCAAATTGCTTTCAGTGCTTTTGTAGTGCCAGTTTCTAAAAAAAACGCAACTTAGGCACTTCCCGTTATTTTTTAGCTGATCAGTAATGTGAGTAAAGCCAGTTCGCAAAAAATCAATCAGTCGTTTTTCGTACGAAGCCGTACGAAAAGAAGTTCGAAGAATATGATTAGTTACTGCGAACGGGAAAGATAGGCTAAAGCCATACCCATTAAAATGTGCACGTAGTGCCGCTTGAAGTAACCAAATTAGACTGCGGTGCTTCACCAACCAACGGTGGAGAACCCTTCTCCTTAGCGCCAACGAAATCACCTCAAGATGTCACTTGCTTCTCCAAGGTGCAGGTCGTAAATGCTTACCGCGGCGGGTGTGACAGTGACACCATAGCAGGGATTCCTGTCGGTGGACATTCTAACACCGGTACCTGGGAGGATGTCTGGACTTGAATATACCGACAAGCTACCAGTCCTACAGCCATCACCGTAACTGGGTTGCTGTTGATCACCCGGACGGTTGTTTTGTAATGGGTTATCGTTGAAAGAAAGCACACAGAATCCACAACGGTTTCCGTCAGGGCTGTTGAGGGTGTGAGAAAAGTCGGCACGCGGACTGTAGGTGAGCAGGTTGTCATGATGGCCACTTCTTTTTGCGCCAGTTCCGGCATGCGCGTGAATATACCGAGTGTCGTGTACTGGATGCTGATAGGTTATTATACCGCAAAACATTGTCGGTGTACGAGTACCGAAGGCGTAACCATATTGAGAGTCATTTTAACGAAGTCTTACGGTTATCCATCTCGTCAAACGGTTCAGTATTGGGAACGGTCCTGCGCTGAAGCATTGCGCATGCCGGTGTATTGTACGTATCAAGAAACTGATAGGAATTAGATCTGCAGGTGTGGAGAGGTCTGCAAAGCCCATATTGCCCGCACAACAACATCAACGTATCGAAACCTTACAAAGTACTAAGCAAACACTTCTGCGGGCCGTTTCATGTGTCAGCGCTGACTGTTTTATTGTTCTCTTTTTACACGACGTCATAATAACCTCCATGTTTTTATGTTACAACTGCTGATGTGATTATCATTTCCTATTTGTGTTCTCTCGATGTTGTTAAGCTGTCTGAAGCCCAGAAGGGGCAACCGCTCCTATGCAAGGACAATAAACTTCGTTATTATTATTATTAAGCGGACCAAATTTGCGCTGAAGATGACTTCATAATTGTTTCCATAATTTCACTTGCCATTCGACGATCCACGTCATTTTTTTCCCAGCAATGACCACAAGCGTGCACATGCGAGATGTTCTGCAGAAACAGAAATCACAGGCAATTCCGTAATAAACATAAACTTAAAATGCAGAAAAAACCTGTCATCATTTACTAAACATGCAATAAAGTTGGAGTTCAAATTTTTTAGAAGTGCGGAATATCTGTACACCGCCGACCTTAGTGTAAATAAAAGATTTAACAGAAGCAGTTAAACAATATTTGCACGTTTGCACTGATACCGACTGCGGTACGGAAATCCTCGCAATCCAGTTTCCATAGCTCATTATCGACTTTAAGCGCTCTCATTATCCTAGGCTAAGTTTCCCATAAAGAATTCCGTGCAGTCTTGCTACAGCTTCTGGAGGAGACAGGCAAAGAAGCTCTACTGGTAGACGGTGAGATGATTATTCCAGACGACCCAATCAACCAGGAGGTTCCAAGTCAAACCGTTCCAAACCCACCGCGATGCGGCAGGGAATAAGCCTCCCTGTGGAAGTGCCGGTGGAGGTGCTGGAGCTCTAACCGAAGGCATTAGCACACCCGCAGCTCCACTTGACGAACGCTTACACGGCGGAGGTCCCGGAACCGCGCATGACTCACGGAACCCAGAATTTTCCTCCCCATCGGTGTGTTTTCGTTTTCTGCTTGAGCACCCTTCAGGCTCCTTGACTTTAACAAACACTCCGCTGCATCTGGCAGCGTGTCGGGCCCACCAATCGTCGGTGGGACCGGGCGGCCGATGGCGCGGCCGCCGGATGAACCCAAAATGCGGCGCTTCATACCGGCACGGACCACTGCATCGCCATACGTGCTGCAGATAGTGCTCGACTTCGTCGTTGTAAGCATGGTAGACCGTTACGCTGGCACCCGTTTGCGTGTTGATGCGAAACATGTGCTCGTGGAAGGCCACTCCATGCCAGTCACCATCGCGATTACCATTGGTAACACAGAGATACGCATGGATCATCTCGTGCAGCAGTGTCTGAACCAGATCTCGGCGCGGACGGAATTTCAGCAACGGTTCACTCAGCTCAATGGTATGGCATCCTGTCGGGCGTGGGTGGAAAGCACCAGCAGGTCTACAACCACTTTGAATTAGAAGCATCACGAGTTATATGTTAACCAAGCACGCAAACGGCAAACTCAAACTTCTGCTTCTAGAAGCTAACAAAATCAAGGTATACTTAAAAGGTGGAGCTGGATAGAACTTACAATATCAGCTCTTTGCTCCACTTCACGTCCACATTTCCGATAGTATTCCAAAAGTAGTCTCGATTGAACTGCCTGAACAAGGCACGAATGTCTGGATTGGGATCATGTATCTCCCACCACGGATCTACTGGCGACAGTACCGAACTGTAATCAGGAGCTACTTTCGGTTTGTCGGACTGCGACGATCGTAATTCAACGGCAGGTGGCCGTCGCTTGTGGTCCTCACACGGCATGCCAATACTTCTTCCTCCGATTCTCATTTTGAATCGATCGTAGCGTAATCTTAAAATCCAAATTCCATGACTGACAACGTGCAAAGCGTCACCGTTGTAAACTGTAGTTCTTTCTTTATTTCAGGATCTACATATTTCGGAGTTGAACACTTGAGGCATAAGCGAACTGTGCAGCGGCTAAGGAAAAACGTTCACGGTTGAACCTACAGTCAGGCTTGAGTCAGCTACCTCTTACATACCGCAGAAAATACCTCTTCCAGTTGGAGAGTTGGTAAATTGGAAATTTTCCGTTTGGGAAAGGGAACACTTTGCGTTAATATCGGGTATAAGAAATTCTGAAGTCGAAAAGCACTTGTCGTGAATCTGCGTCTCCTTTTCAGACTGGTTTGCTATCTGCAGTTCGAACTAAAAACAGCGTGACCAGTAACTGCAGACCGACCTTTGCGCTCGCGACTGAATAGAGCACTTTCAAGATACCCGCTCCACTGGGCGGTCGGGTTATCTTACCAAAGGTTTACGGGTTCGGCAAGCCGCCGAGATTACGAAACGCTTTTAGTTTCCGCTTTTCTTAGCTATCCTCCAGTTTTTCTTTAAGGATCTTCGAGATTTTAGTATTTTGATCTTCCTAGCAGTACAATTGTTTCCAAATGCCAAAAAATAAAATGATTGTTTTGCCAGTCATAGATAGGCAGTATTGTTTCTAGCTTTCAGCGAGAACACTTTTGTTGCTCGCTAACAGCCGTAGTTATACTCGTAACTACACGGTACGGCAGCGTATGGCGACATCATCAAAGCATCGATGCCCGCGTGCGCAAGGAAGACGATGGACCATACAGGTTTCGCCCGGCTGAACTACCACGCAATGGTTTCCGAGACCGAGCCGAAATGCAGTTTGATTTTGACCTCTCTTTGATCTATCCTCGTGTATGTTCATTAACCAGGCTTGTTTTCGCTCGGTTAGACGTAATTGGCTGGCTGCCATTGTCCTCTCAAAACTATTACATTAATTTTAATATACTGGTGATCTTTGAGCTAAAATAGTGTACGATGACAATTTCTCTTGGCCATACTCTAATCCAATAATTATTAATTTTTTTAAACGGTTTTCGTATTACTTTGTATAATTATGTTGATCTGGATTGATTGCTTAGTACTACTGTTACTTAGTTTTACCAGTTATCTGACCAATCAGCACACCACTAATACAAGCAAAATATGTCGAATGGAACTTTTGCTTACATTTGTTAAAACAAATACTGCAAAATAGGTGCTGGATTACTTTTATGCCAAAAGTAATTTATTTCTTTGCACTGCTCAAAAGATAAAATGCTAGCAGTGTACTGGTAGGGAAACGCTTGCGCTGATTAATTCACTCCTCATTGTTTGTCCAGCAAAAAATTTGAACAAAACATGTCAGCTAAGCAAGGCAATCGAACTTCAATGTTACCAAACCATTCACTTGGTTTAAAAGCGGTATATTACTAGCTGTCCTGTTCTACCTGGTGACGTAAGTATTGCAGCTAACTCGTAGTCAGGCACTGCTTTACTGTATCGTCGACTCAAGTTGGCACTATTTTTAAAGTAAAGTAAGTAATGTACCAGCGCTTGCAACTTTTGTTAACTTGGTGGGTACTTACAGTAAAGCATTGGACACAAGCTCAAAGCGATTCTAGTGAATGTCCACACCTTTGCTCAGAAGATGCACAAACAGGAACACAGGAATGACCGTTAACTGCACTAGTAGAAGTATACACGCATAACACATCTAAGTGATGGCATAACGGAAAGTTAAATGAATGAGCTGCTAATACTGGTGACAATTTCGATAACAAAAATAAGTCGATTTTCTTATTCTGTCGCGATTTACAAAATAGAGTGTACACACTAACTATGAGGCAGCACTAGCAGTTTCTGTCCACTTGTAGCTTCTGTGATGCAGCAGTCCGTTTACTGTACAAAAGTACACACGAAGTTGCATGCATTTGAGTTTTGCGTTGTTACCTGACAGTTTTACACGTAGGTTAACATTATCCGGTGCTAAGTACCCTCACAACTTATTCCTGAATCTTCAGGAGTTTGTACCTATTTCTTAGTTCCACGTTTCGGGATATCATAGAAACCAAAACTCGTGGCGAGCCGCGGCGTGTTTTCTCACAATGCCGCTCAAACTGTTTTTGTGCATTAAACGAGCAGTTGTCGCTGTCATGGAGAGACATCTAGGAATATTATCGCTCCGGCGGCTGAACCTGACACCAAACAGAAAATGCATGTCGGAAACTGTATACCCGGCTGGAGTATAACTTTGCGGCAATACATGTGGTTAAATCAGGCGCGGTACATAAGCGCCATATTTTGGCACAACGTAAAACACCAGCCGGATGACGGCAGCGAGTACATGCAGGGAGTGCTGAAAAAAAAGCCATGGTCATCCCCAACGTACTGTATAAGTAATTCGCTTTTTCTGTACGCTTTGATACGCGCTTTGCGTCCAAATACAATTACAAATAGAACATCTTACTGTAATCTGCCGGTTGGACTGAAATTTGATTGTTAAACGGAGAAAAAAGGTCGAACTGTGTTACAGCGTGTGGAATTAATGCGATAGTTATGTTTCCGTGCATGTGCGATACACGGCGACCTGGTGACAGGAGTAACCCTAAGCCAGTTATCTGCCAGCACGGTGCTGAACTCATCGGTTAATGCCGGCTTAACTTTCTGCTTTGCATTATAATTCTTATTTCAATTCCATTTTCTCCAGTGCTTTGTTACTTGTTGTGCAGATAGCAGTCTTATTCCAAGTTTCTAGTTAAACATTAGCCCACTCATTTGTAGGGAAGGCGGCGCTATTTTCAATCACGCATACAGTTTACATATCTGTACGTACACTGATACACATACCGCAATATCCTGGAGTGATGTTGTGTACTTTGGCATTCTGCTCGCGGGTGTGCTGCACACCATTGCCGGCCATGTGGTGAATCGTTATCGCAATGATGCCGGACGATGACTGTTACATTCACCCCGGGATGTGGCTGAGGCACAAGTCTCCTCGCTGTCCGCCGGCATCAGATCCCCGTAAGGTTCCCCGACTGACGCCACTTCCACCGTTGTACGACACTACCACGACAGCCCAGGAGCCGGCGACAGACCAGCGCCATGGAAAGGTCAGCATCAACATGTAACCGACAAGGGCGCTATTCAGTCCAGTCCCACCAGGTGTCCCTCGCTGGTGCAAACCGTCTTCGTCACTACTACCAAGAAGACCGTTAAAAAGATCACCCACACCAGCACTGAAAGGATCACCGAAACAACAACCGCAAGTACTACCTTGACAACCACCAAGAGTACCACCCCACAACCACCGAAAGTACCACCGTGACAAGCACGTCTACAATCACCGTGACAAGCACGTCGACATACACCTTGACAATCACCGATCCGGAACGCGGAAATTAGTAAGACTTATAAACCTTGAAACCCGAAGACTGCAGCGTGGAATTGTGGCGGAGAGTGTGCTATGGAAATCTTACTCGTCACCTTTTTGTCAGCATAATGCTGCATATAACCGTTGGTTACTTGCATTTTCTCTTGGGTGTTGCAAAGACTTCAAGGAAATACGACATTATCATCAGAATCTCGAATAAAGTAGTAATGATCAATACATAAGGTGCACCAAATTTCTGTGCATGGATGTTTCGCGCTTCTGGCTGCGACGTCCCCCAAATCAGTAGTAAAACTGATTCTTGACCACATCGAAGAAACTGTCAAAACATAGACCATCTAAAGCAAACATCGACCAACTTCAGTCAATGCATGTATCGCATGCACTTTATTGACTTTAATTGCTTTTCGAACGTAAAACAAAACAAAGCCGCTGCACTATCGTTCAATCAAATAAATCTGCAAAATTATGTAATTTCATAAATATTACCGTAGCTTTCTGTCGCATTCTGAGCGTAGAATGTACCACTCGGAGCCAAGCAGGGCTACTGTTGTTTTCGGGTTTCGAGGGTTGGCCGATTGACTTCGCTCATTTGCTGCCGCTCTTCAATGGCACCGCGACGTACGTTTCCCGATCGAAGTCGACTATCTCGCTGGTCAGTTGGGCCGGTGATAGCCAGCCGACGGCCGAAAAGACGGGAGAGGCCGAAAAGGCAAGCTTCTCAAGGCACTGAATTCCGAGACCGCCCCGTGCAACCGGAAGCGACGCTTGTAAAACCTTACGTTATACCGGCTTCGTTGATTATAATGCCTGTAAAGCAGGATACCATCCAAGAGTGACCAGAGCCAAATTTCTTTTTCAAAAATACAGTAGTTCCCGGCACTGTACATCCAGTTCATGGTAGGGGACGAATAATTTTAAATTCAAAAATAAAATGCAATTTATTACTGCGATATTAGTAGCCTTTTGTCACGGGTATGACTGGTTGAAGTACAGGTTGTGTGGACAGTCATACTATGAAGCAGTTGGAAAGCAGCATGAATCATCATCATATTATCGATTTCCATAAGACAAGTACACGATGGAAAGGCAGCAGACAGCGAATTTGCCGGGATTATCCTATGAAGAAGTGGCCAGAAAAACGTCAACCAATTAAGTGGACTTTGATCCTCCAAAAAACAATCAATAAAATGAAGTCTCTGTCTTGGCTGTGAGTGCTTTTGAGTCCAAGGCGTGTTCTCTCATCTTTCATGATGTTGTATCAGAAATCACTGTCAAGTGCTTGAGGAAGAAGAACTTCTTGTGAAGGATTTAGTATCATCTTGCATGGCTAGCAGCTCTGGAATATCTTGTCTGGAAAGTGTTCTCGGGAATATCTTCTCAGCCTTGATGTTGTTGCACTGTTAGCTTGAATGAGTTATATAAAGGTCATCGTGATTAAGGTTGATTGGGTTTAGCGTCACCTTAATTTGTTATACAGACTGTACAGCCATAAGGTCATACCACCGCAAACAACCCCTACTACCAACACCTAGTTGACACTGTAGTTTTTGACTGTTATTAAATATTATTAAATTATTATTAAATATCAGCCTTTGATCTGCGACGTACGTGTGCGGCCACGGCAAAGCCGCCGGTCTTGCGTGTCCTGCAGAATGCACCTGCGATTGGGTCCGATCAGCCCTGGCATACCTAATCATTTTGTTATAATTATTCATCTCGTGTCACGGAGTCGGGCAGAACGACCGACAGAATTTGTAACTTGTTCATCATATTCGTTTGTTTGTTTTTTTATTAATTTTATGATCGTGAAGGAACAATTGTCTAACAGACCATGGTGAGTGGGACCGTAGAGCGAGCAGAACCAAACATGTCTTTCACAGAATTCTACGGTAGTACTGCGTGTGAATCCAGTTCATTAATACCGCTTGGCTTCGAGCCGTGTATGCGTAGAGCAGAAAGAAAGCCACAGAAGTACTCCAGAAATTATAAATGCAGGCCATTTCATTAACCATAAGCAACACCATGAGGATTTGCGAAAGCAATGGAAACGCATGGCAAACGCAAAATGATTACGGGACGTTTGCTAAAGTAGATGGATTTTGCTTTAGTTGCACATCAAAGCTTTTATCGTCTCTGTGATGAGGCCAAGAATGAGTACTTTTTTCTGATTGCTGGGACATATCGCAGTAAGAATCGGCAAACAGCCATGCGCAGATAAAAATGCACCTTAATTTAATCGTATTGGTTATCACTTAATTCGAAAATGACATCTGACAAGATCGAGGGTGTATGCAGGCTTTAAAAAACCCAAGGAAACGACGAAACAGCAGCTCCATTGGGACACCGTGCCGACCAGCCCAACGAAAAAACGACTGAAATTTAATTTCCATAGTGCAGTCTGCGGCAGGCGTCAGGGTGTGATTCCAACAGTGACACAAGTCGAAGTGGAGCTTAATACGCCAATCGGCGTGGCCAGCCCGCCTCCGGGCACATATGTGGGAGAGTGATTAGCATCGGTCGTTATATCCCGTCCGTACAGAGTTGTAGCCAGCGTAACTCCGCAGGACGAACGATCTTCGATGGTCGTGGTCACCACTATGGTGCAGCAGCCATCGCCCGGGACGGCCTCCGTAGCTGAGAAGGTCCTTACGCTCTTAGTATTAGCAAACACGCAGTTTACCGCGTTAGCTGCATAGACGGCCTTCGCCGTTGTGACACCGGGACTGCCGCTAACGGGAACCGCTTCGTACAGTATCACCTGCTCGGCACTGCAGAATACGGAGGGCTCCGTGTTCACGATAGTCGTGGATGTCATGGCGCACCGGCACACAGACTGGGTGCTTGTCGAGGTGCTTGTCACGGTGGTCCTTTCGGTAGTTGTCACTGTGGTACTTTCCGTCGTTGTCGAGGCGGTGCTTTCGGTGGTTGTTTCGGTAGTCCTTTCGGTGGTTGTATGGTCGATCTTTTTGATGGTTTTCTTGGTGGTGGTGACGGAAACGGTTTGCACCGTGGAGGAACACCTGGTGGGACTGGGTTGGATGCAGTCCTTGTCGGGTATATACTGGTGCTGACCCTTCCAGGGCGCTGGTCCGTCACCGGCCCCCGGACTATCGTCGTACAACGGCGGAAGCGGCGTCAGCTGGGGAACTTTGCGGAGATGCGGCGACGATGGATAGCGATGAGCGGCGCGGCCCAACGACATCCCGGGGCGAATGTAATAGTCATCGGTGACATCATCGCGATAACGATTCACCACATGGCCGACGACGGCGTGCAACACACTAGCGAGCAGAGTGCAAACGAACACAACATTATTCAATGTAACCGGCAACATTATCGCACGTGTAAGTTTAATAATTACAGGAATTGGAATAAGAATGTTACAGCACGTAATAATGTACTCTGTACCGGTAAAAATGGAAGTACTAAAATAATAATTATACTGCAAAGAATGAAGTTAAGACCGATAAAATTACGTCGCTTTGTTGCTGGCGATTTGCGGACCATTGTGGTTGCTGAACTCCCAAGTTTGCCATTTGTAAGTACATACAGTGTATGTATCGTACGCATGTACGGAAAACATAGCCAACGTACTGTATTAATTCCGTCACCAGTTGCTTTCACACTGCAGCCTAATTCGACGCTTTTCGATCCAACCGGGAGATTACAGTAACGTGTTCTACTTGTAGTCGTACAGGAGCGCGTATCGTAGCGTAAAACGCAACACTAATAACCTAACAGTTTTTTGTTTTGCACTGGTTTCACTGTTTCAGCCGCCGGAGCGATGATCCTCAATGTCTGTCGATGGCACCCATATATGCTGCTCGTTAATTCATACAAAAAAAACAATGGTCACCAATGTTGGAAAAAAACGCAGGAGTGAAGTGCATGGGCATCTTGAAAGTGTTACTAACTTTCAAGATCAGCCTGCTTAACCAACGTCGTAGTACACTAGTAATTAATATAAAATAAATAATAAGTAATATAAAACAAAGTAATTTAATGTGCGTAAACATAAAGTAATAAAAACGTAACGTATGTAGTACAGTATGTAATCATTGTTATGTATTTATATAATAAAGTATGTAGTAAATGGTAATATAAAATAAGGTAATTACAAATCAATGTAATTATGTATTAATTATTCAATCAAGTAAGCAGTTAATATTTAATATGGTAGCAGTGTAAACTGTGTAATCCATGTAATTCTGGGCGCGAGATTTTCTTGAAAACTTGGTTCAACTTTTAATTTTCAAATTTTATTTGCACAATTAATATTCATACTGAATTATAATTTCCAACGTGTACAGGTACAGTAGTTTTATTCCTGTTTTTGTACATTTTTAAACATATTTTCTGCCAACGCGATCACGCCGTACTCAAGCAGTGTACATAAAGTGTAAACGAATAAAACATTTGTTTGTCAACCGAATTCAAACCATCAAAAAAGGCACCTGTGACCTTTCCACCAACGGACAGACTACAAAAATCAAGCCGAACAGCACACAATTTCCCGACCATCATGCACAAAACAAGGTGAACGCAATAAAAACGATAAAACCAGGAAAAATCTCTGCATCTTCGTCATGGCCGTGATTATTGCAAAACACGCTCCTTAAAAACATCTGCAGCACCGCAACATCAGGCAACAGGATGAAGGCCAAATAAATAGAGGGAAAAGTGGGGATTAATCAGATGAATCCCAGATCGACGCTCTTGGACTCGCAGATCCACTGCAGCACCGACGCGTCCCGGCCGCCGCTGCTGATCAGCCGGCTGGCGTCGTGCAGGAAGCGCACACAGCTGACGTGGTTGCTGTGTCCGCTGTACGTGTGACATGCCGACTGCAGACAGACAAAAAAATTCAATTCCAAAAAACGGTCACCAAAATAGTAATTATCTGTATAATAAAGAAAACATACGCCTGGACATTTATTAATCGAACATTTTAAAAAAGGGACTATTAATTATTACGATAAATAAATAAACATGAAAACTAAACAAAAAAACTCGATAAAAGTTTTTGGATCAAAGATTACAAACTAAATTTTCAATAAAAAAAATTATTTATTTAAAAACTAGTTCAAGTATTTATACAACATTCAAAATCATAACCGTTCAGATAATCAAAGACTGTTTTCGGTTTTATAAATTTCTTAAAATTTAAAAAAATTTTAAAAAGGTAACTGAAATGGTTACTAGAAAGCGGGAATTTCTAGCGCAAAAAAATGGAAACTTCTCGTACCTTTTGCGACATGGCGGGGAAGGAGAAGAGCTTAACCTTGCCGCCGTCGTCCCCGACGGCCAGCACGCGCTGGGCGCAGTCGACGCTGAGCGCCTGCACACTGTCGCTCCAGACGCCGGCCACGCCGTACTCCAGGATGCAGTTGCAGCTGTCCCACTCCACGTCGCGACACAGAGTGGGATTGTTAATCTGCTTCAATGTCGCTGGATTCCCTAAGCAATATCACAGAAATATTCCTATCAACGGATCCTCAAATGTGCCAAACAAATTTTCCTCAATATTTCCAGCAATAATTATTTATTAACGAATTCTGTTGATTTTTTCACCAGCATTCTTGGAAAAACTCTCTGGATACAAGCTGGAATTTTTCATTACAACAAGTAAAAATAACCGCGACAACATTCGAATTTGTCGCATTTAATCGTTGCACAGATTTTTGGAATAATCAATTTCTTCGGTTTTCTTAATAATTGCAAATAAAATAATCTATGAAAACCATTTGTCGATTTTCCATTAATTTGTACTTTCCCGAAAATTTAAAGGTATCACACACCTTAAATAATTTCTATTTTTAATTTTTAAAAAGTTCTGTTTTTGATTTTTTAAGATTTTTTTCTGTTTCCATTAATTTATTTGTTTATTTTCTATTTTCACTTACAGTAGATGAGTTCGAAGTTGTCGGAGTTGCTGCGCAGATACTGGCTGTCCACGGACCAGTCGAGACACAGCACGGCACTGCTGTGCCCGAGGCATTTGCCCAGTTTGATGCACTTACTGCCGCCGTCCATCACCTGGTACACGTAGATGGCCCGGTCCACCGACGCCACCGCGATAAACCGCCCATCTATGCCACACAAAAATAATTGCAACGCTCCTATAACTAACCGATATTGATTTAATTCCAGTAACCGATAATCAATGATTTAAAATTATGCAACGCAAATTCTGACTGAATTTATTATGTGCGCCGAATGCAAATCGAGAAAGAGTGATATCGTAGAATAACGGCACTGACCAACTTTTCGTCTCTGCCAGCCGCTTTAAACATTAACAAACTTGTAAAGGACATTCAAAACGCTGGCTTTGGCAGTATCAGGATAATGTTGATTTAATTATTTTTCCACTATGCCGTTTACCATCGCCGTTACCAAACATACGAGTACTAGTACATTTTCTATATACACTAGTACATACATTTTCTTCACCCTATTTTTCACAAACGTTATTATTAACTTTGTCACCGAAACCCTTACCATGAAAGTAGAATTGTTTACTATCTTCAGTTAGAAAGTAATATTCCCATCAATAAAGAATTTTTCAAACGTCAACATGATAATTATTATTCGATAAACAATTAAATCCGACTGACCGGGGGAATATTTGATACAGGATAGAAGATCCTGCCCGTCCTCGGCGACGGCCTGCGTGTGCACCACATCGCGGGAGAGGGTGTCCAGGACGAACCAGCGCCCGGAGACGGTGGCAATGGCGATCAGGTCGCCGTCGGGATGGAAGCACAGCGCATGGATCCCATCCTGCCAAATATTCTTTATTTATTAGGAAATTATTTTTTTAAAATGCTACAATAATCCGGCGCATACCGGCAGCTCCGTCGTCCAGATGGGCACCTTCTCCTCGGCGCTCCACAGCGTCAGGGTGTGGTCGTAGGAGGCCGTGACGAACTGGTGGTGGTTGGGGTGGGTGGCCAGCGCCCACACCTCGTCAAAATGGCCCTGCGGTAGAATTATTCACTTAACTCGACGATTAAAATTTCACACTTATCCATTTTATTGCGCTGAAAATCATCCAAACTGTAATGAATTCCCAAGTAAAAATCCGATAGAAGCATGATGTACTGTATCGGTAATAATTATTATTTGTTAATTCCGCGTATTTTTTTAATCTTTTTTTAATTTTTCAAATTATTTTATAATCTTTTTGTAATTGTGATTTGACAGAAACAGTTTTTTGGTTTTATCTTCGCATGAAATAATTTACTAAATGCTTTTATTATAAGCAGTATCTCGACTTACTGCTGCGATAAAATTCTAAAAAATAAACCCCCCGAAAGCCAAAACTGTTTTTGAGTTTATTTACAACTAAATTATTATTATTCACTATAGTTCACGTTATGACTGAAAAATTAATTGAGGTATTACTGCGATAGAAATTAGGCTTTTAATCGTGGACGTACGTGTACGGCGACAGTGAAGCCGCCGGGCAGCGTGCCCTGCAGGATACAGTTGCGATTCGTCCCGATCAGCAACTCCCCGTCTGCATCCCGGCATAAAGCGCGCGCCGTCCCCTGACTGTCCGGCAACTACATTAACAAAATCAATATTACGCTTATTTTCTATATAAAATTATTTATTTAATTACCAACCTCCATTTCCTGCCCGGTGCGCCGCAGTCCCTGATCCCACACGACGATGCGCCGGTCCTTCCCGCCCGACACCACCTGCCCGTCCGCGCTGGACAGCAGCACGAAGACGCCGCCCGGATGGGCGTTGGCCACCATGTGACGCATCCGGTTGCCCGCTACAAAAACACCAGCAACTAATGCAATAAATAAAGAAAGGAAAAAAATGCTATTATTACGCATAAATAAATCATTATTTATCAATAAAAAAATTAACGCAACCCTCAGAAATACAATATTATTTGTGATTATTTTTTTTGTTTCGGTAGTGTGCACTATTTCTGGTTTGAATACTACTGTAAACAGTGCTATATTATTAAGACGCATATATTTTTTTAGGAAAATGAAATATAATTGTAGAAAACATAAAATACGGTTTTAGAAATAAAATATTCACATTACGCAATTATTATTTCGCAGTACTGTTCGGCAGTTAATTGCTTATGAAAACTATGTGTGCCGTTTGTATAAGCAAAATTCAGAAAAGTTAATGTTACAATTTGTGAAAAAATCTAATTATTTTTAATTAAAAATCTAATTAATTAGATATTTTTCGGAGAAAATGTAGAAAAAAAATTATTATAAATTTTCGTTGCAAATCTGCCGGATATAACATTTGCAACCTCGAAATGATAGCAGTGGCTGAGTGCACTACACTACATTCTCTACGCGAAAGCGATTAAATGCGAATACGTCCTCACCGTCACAGCAGTAAAACAGCATCCTTGCACAAAACATCAGTATTAAAATATTCAGCTTTTAATCAACAGTAAACAAATATTTACCGCGTCCCCAGGAAATGATATTGCCATTGGAATCACCCGTCAGGATATCACCGTTCTCGCTAAAGCACAGGCACAGCAGGAATTTCGGTCGTTCGATCTTCTGCAACCACATTATCCTCGGTCAATAACGCAGCAAATTCTACAGAAATTACTGGGAAATTTTATTCTACTGTTACTTCGAAAACCCCGACGATCCGGTTGAGCGCCAGCGTACTGCCGTCCAGATTCCAGAAGTTAATGTGACTCTTCCGCAGGTCACCAGCAGGTTGGGCACGGACGGGTGGAATTCGCCGGCGAACACCGGGTCCGATCCACACTACACCGGCGAACAAAAACTTATTTAAATTCAACTGAATTATATCAATTACCCAATTAATTTAATCAATTTTACTAAACGAACTACTCAATTAAATCTTGCGAAAGCTTGACAGAAAACTTATCTACATAAAATTAAGAGCATGCTACGGAAATATCGAGACAATCGGAAAATAAATCCGGAAAATCAGGAAAAACAAGAATAAATTTTAAAAAGATACAGCAAAAAAATTAGGCACAACTACTTGGAAAGATGAAGAAAGCTGGAGAAATCTGTGAAACAAAATAAGGACCAACTAGAGAAAGAGAGCGAATATAAGGAAATGCACATAAAAATAAGAACACAGAAGATAAGAAAAACAACAGAAAAGCTGATTAAAACCGGAGAGCAAACAGGAAACGTTATTTAGCAATTTAAGCAAATCAAAGAGGAATCGAGAAAAATTAGAAACATTAAGAAGACCGGAAACACTCTTTAGCAACAAAAAAAATCCGAGACAAATCGAAAAAATATAAAAAATCAGGACAAATAATTAAGTAATTAGACGAAGACAACCGGTCGAAGAAAAACGGAAAATTTCAAAAGAAAAGGGCGACGTACAGCCACCATGGCGATGCGATCGCCGCGGGATCCGGCCTTCTGCCAGTCCCACAAGCTGAGCAGATGCTCCGGCGACTCGTCGATGACGGCCAGCAGGGTGCCCTCGTCCATCTTGGAGAAGGCCAGCGCGCTGAAGCCCCGATCGAATTCCCCGTTGACGCCCAGCACGTGCAGCGTGCTCAGCGTCACCGCGTCCCAAATCCGCACGTGGACCTGCCGGGATTAACGGTTTCTTGCAACAACTTGTATTGCACTAACACTTGGACGAACCGTGTTTACCGATATATATCCACCATCTGTCTACTATCGCACACAGCTACCGGTAAGTCAAGAAAAAAAAAGGATTAACAGAAGTGACAAACATATACTGTAATTCACCGTATATCCACAACAGTAATCGGTGGTGTCAGGTTTAAAGTAGCGTTAAGACAACTGCCTTGTGCCCCATCTCTATCGTCGCCGTTGCACTACGATTTTCAGTTACGATAACCGCTCCCTGCATCGTGATTATTAATGTAAGATCTTTGTTTCACTAAATGCTATTAATTATTCTTATTTATGTTACTAAAAACTATTTATTATGCTATTCATTAGTAAATCCTATTTTTTATTTTTATTTGTTCTACTAAATACTTAATAAATACATACTGTTTATTATTGCCATCCGTTCAGTATTTATTACTGCAAGATATGCAATACATTAGGATGCCAAGAAAAAATAATAGGGAAACTTGAAGAGTAAACACGGAACATTTATTTTCAGCGTGGACCACCAGTCCATTACTATCCCAGCCGTGAACGAGTTGGCGACAAGCGGCCACTGCACTACACTGTGACTACAGTACAACCATCCGTGGTTGGAATTAACCGCAGCACACTTTCTGTACCGGTACTTACAATTTTTTCTCCGTCAATGCTGTTGGTGGGTGACGTCGCACCGCGTTTCTACAACACACAGAACACTTGGTTTCCGCTCCGGCGACAACAGACACCATTCCAACAGCATTCCCATTTGAACATTTCAACTGGTTTGAATTCTGTTGTTGTTTAATAAATTTCATTAATACAATAATAAATTGCTCACTAAATTAACATAGACGATAAATTTTTTTAAGTTGTTTAATAAGTTTCGTTAATGTAATAAAAAGCTCACGAGATTAACATAAACGATAAATTTTTTTAGAACTGATTAATAAATTCGCTGTTTAACAAATAAACGTTTACCGATGTTTAGTAAATTTGTGGTTTAAAAATTTTATCAGTTTTCATACTGTATTGAATTACGAGTACTTTGAATATAAGACAAAAACAACTCACCGGCCGGCGATCGGGATGGCCGGTCTGGCCCGACGCTACCGTCAGCTTGTTCGGATGCACCGCAATACTGAAAGAACAACATTCTTAAAAACTGTCCTCATGAGCACATATTCAGAATTTACAGAGTAGATACGCAAAAATACTGAATTAACCTTATTATTTTAGAACGGATTCCACAATGGGCAAAAATTATTTACTGTACGAACCGGATACGAGACTATAATTATACCACAACCGGGAAATATTCGAAACCATCAGAAAAATTATAATCTGACTGAAAACATTTTTCAATCATTATAAACCGGAGAAAAAACTGATACTGAAAATCTGAAACTGAAATTTCAGACAGTATCCCTAGGCATTTTGTCACACTGCATTCTTAGCGATAATTTAATTTATTAAAAAACAGAAAAACTCAATAACTATTAGACAGTAACTATTCGATGGTAGCAACGCTACTGGAGCGTTTCATAGCAAAAAGAAAATTAATTTTTTACCAGCGAATATCATCCGTATGGCCAAGGTAATGCCGTTGTAATTCCTCACGAAAGTTGACCAGCACCACCACGGAGGCGATGAAATACGCGCACTCCCCGGTGGCGACATAATGCAGATTCGACCGGCAATCGCGTCCCCGATAACCATACCTACACATAAAAAATTAGTATTAATGAAATTTTTACGGGAAAAAATTGGGAAAAATTCGGGCGTACACCCATTCCAGTTTGAGGCGTTCCGTGGGCGCCGGGTTGGGTTTGGCCAGCGACTGCGTCAGGCACTCCTCCGAGGGGACGTAAAAGTTCATGGGCTTACCGCGGATATTCACGCGCAAATAACCATCATCTACACAACGGGAAAATAACGATGTTAAGGTAATTTCCAATCCAAAGACAGAACAGTACGGAACAAAGGCGTATTTTATATATATTTTCATTTTATAAAAATTTTACTTTATATTTTTTTCTAATGTCTGTGCCGTATAATTTTTTAAGAAAAAATACAGTTCGTTTATGTACAAAAAAATCGGTTCGGTAAAAACGCAAGCGTTCATATCGCAATTCACAAAAAGATGTATAAAGAAGCCTAAGAAAGTTTTTGAAAAAATTGAATTTTATATGTTTTATATGTTGTTTGATTCATTAATGGTCTACAAACAATATCCGAATCATTCTCCAACAATCACCATGACCCGTAACCACTGCACTACGATAATCGCTTCAAGATTCGTAATGTGCCACCGTTAAGCAGACAAATTAGTTACCAACCTTTCCAAAAATCATAAAAATCAACGGCAAAATCGTCGGTACAAAAATTTTTGTGAACGAGAAATGTTTATATTTTGGAAACCGTTATATGCACCCCCTAAAACCCCCGTTTATTATAGGCACCCCTTTTCACACCCCGTTTATTAAAGGCACCCTTTTTAATCTAATATATTATATGTACATACAATGTATAACAGACTTCGTATTCGGATAATAGTACAACATTTTTTTAAGTAAGTTTTTACGGTCATAGCCACTGTACAAAATGATAAACTAATTTTTGTGAATTATATTCCTTTCACATAATATTATTTCTACTTTTAATTTAAAAAAGGGTGCCTATAATAAACAGGGTGTGAAAAGGGGTGCCTGTAATAAACGGGGATTTTAGGGGGTGCCTATAAGGGTACCCTTATATTTTTGATAAAAGAAATTTGTAAAATAATAGTGATTTTGGTAAAATACCGGACGTTCCCGACCACTAGCCCGACCAGTTTTCTCTTTTTTTGCGGATAAAAAAATTTCCAGAAGCAACAAAAAAACAGGTTTCGAACGACAGTTACGTAAAATAATAACATTAATTCAATACTACTAATTAATTAAATAATTAAATAAAAATTTCATTGTACTTAAAATAATAAAAATAAATCATCTTTGCAAATATTGTATTTAAATACAGTAATCATCATAATAATAAATAACACTCGAAATAATAGTAAATAATTTTACTATAAAAAGCGGAAAAGCCGGCATTTACCTGGATTGAAAACGGGTTCCTTGAGGGCCGCCGCGGCGCTGGAGGTCTTGGGGAAGCCGGTGGGGGAGGCGGCATAGGCGGCGGCCGCCACCGGGCTGTGACTGTGCAGCGGCACATCCGTCAAGTGCGACTGCGAACCGAAACGGCTGCGTGGCTGTTGTTGTTGGTGTTGCGGGGGTGGGGCGGCTGAGTGGTAGGCTGAATGGGAGGGCGGGGCGTGAGAATGGCTGACCGACGTGGAACTATGAAAATACAGTAATAGAATTAAATTACAAAGCGATCAGGTTAAATCAATTCTCAGACAAGAAATTAAACCATGGAGACAGCAAATAAACTATACCACCGAAGAATAATTAAGTTAATATACCTATGCTATTAAATATTAATAAAATAAATTACAACTGAATAGATCAATACACGATACATAAACTATCAATAGATTCATATATCCTTACGTCCTTATTTTTTGGAAATTATCTCCTAAATCAAGACTGAGTTTTTCAATAAGTCGATGATTTTAAAAAATGGAGCATCGCACAAACGTTCCTACCTTTATATTTAAAAAAATCTTAAGTTTTGGAGAAGGTCTAAAAAAATTTTTAGAAGTTGTAGTACTTAAAGGTTGTTAGTACTTAAAGGTTGTTGGTTTTGGAAAATATCTCCTAATTCGAGATTCCGTTTGTGAAGCTTTTGATAGTTTTATAAAATCCAGCATCTCCCAAAGCTTCCTACCTGCTGCTTGGAAAAAAATTTTGGTTTCCGGAGAGCTTTCAAAAACCCTTTTAAACTTTCAGTACTTAGCGTTCAAAATTCATAGAAATTTCCAGTAAATTCTGGAAACGTCTCGAATGAGCAAACACTGGTTTTGCAACTTAGCAACCTAAACAATAGTTATTTAAAATTGTCAATTACATCAAACTTTTAAATTTACTTTTTTAAATTCTTGAAACCTTTAAGATGTTTTTAAATGCGTTTGAGTACCTCAAAATAACTGTAAATTTATTTAAAGTCGGCTCCAAAACTTTTACATTTCCAGAATTTCTAAATATTTGACTCGCGCAGCGGGCCGTTACCTCTAATTTTCTGAGCCTCCAGAGTTTCAAAATTTTAAAAATATCTAGAAATCTGAGTATCTCAATATCCCACGGTTCAAATTGTCTAATTTATATGTAATTTCTAAATATCTAAAAGCCGGCCCGCGGCCTGTTTACCGTATTCACTCACGTAGCGGCTCTGTAATTCTGGTGGTAGCTTGGGCATTCCCTAACCTACGTTGCTCTGTAATACTGGCGGTAGCTTGGGTATTCATTAAGCTCGAAATCGAATATAACATATGTATTTATTTTATTTTAGTATAGCTTGACTGAAGGCTGAAAATCTCGCAGTCTTACATGCAGCCTGCGAGGTCACCTTGGGCAGCCGTTAATCGTTTCCCACAAGTTTCCATTAATTCTGCGCTGAAATATCGGCTTAACGGTTTTTTATGGACATCGTGTAAATGATCCCACTCTATCCATTTTATCACCGTTTAAATATTATCTGTCGTACCAAAAAATACAGGTTTTCAGTTCGTTAGAATCGACAATATAAAGTTACATTAAAAACGGGAAAAAGAACCGTGAAAAAGGCAAACAAAAAGAAAAATTACGGAGGCTTTCAGTTTTTATAAAACTGGTCGAATTTAAGCGGAAAACTTGAAAACTGTCCGCATTTTCACATATTTATAATATTTTCGTAGCTGGCTTCGCTGGGGTTTTATATTTGAAATATTTCTCAAACTCGTTTTTATTGCTGTACAAGTGTATTTTGTACTGTATTTCTTTCATTTTTCCATACCTCGAACACAACTGGTCGCGCGCTAGCGCGACCGATACTTGTAATACTAATAATGTGACAGCGATATCGATAGCAATAATTTATTAATAGTTAATTCCATTTATTGAACAATAAACCACAGCTGAACAATACGCGTACGGCGTATTCATAACGCCGTGGTTAAGTGAGTACAATTATTATTTGTAACGCGAAAGAAGCCACTTTTCAGCGGTTAGAGTGATCTTCAGCGAAGCAAAAAGCAGAAAATTTCATTAATTTTAAATAATACTCACATTAAAGTAATTATTACTTTATTTGCAACGGTATCGCAAGCTGTATCGGTATCGCAAGGTATTGCAACGCTCTCACAAGCCAGTATACTACAATATTGGCATTACTACGCTCTACACTGACCGATGCGATTTTGCTATACATACATACACAAGATTCCGGGATATTTCTGCTAGAATTTTTAGTTAAACAAATAAAAAACAATCCCCTTAGTCAATATAAAATTAACACGACAACAGGAAAAATTATCGCGGTGTAAATACAAAGTATTAATTACAGTTCAGTTATAGCTTAACCAATTTCCTACTAATTCTTACACGGTTTTCCCGAAAAATCCCGAAACGAGATCGAAAACATTCAGATAAAATCCCAAAAAAATCCACTACGGTTATTTTAACGTATAAAACAGTAAAGTTTCAATTTAACGGTAAAAATATTAATTTTTCAAATTATTAAAAAAATATTGTAATACATATTTATTTATTATTATTTTTCCGTATTAGTTTTTATATTATGAACCGTATTAATGGTTCATATTATTTTAAATATATAATTCAAAATCACGAAAGCACTTATCAGTTATCCGCATCGTTCCGTACCCGTTCTGAAAATCCGAATTGGATGTCCACTTGCGCATGGTCCCGCCGGCGGGGGTGGTGCGCGCCGACACCGGGGTGGTGGTGACCTTCCCGGCACTGCCCCGCGGTGCTGAGCCCCAACCGGTCCACGGAGGGGGAGGTGCGCAGGCCCCCGGTGGAGTGCCGCGGGAGACTGCCCGACTGCAGGGACTCCGTCGACAGGTGGTGGCTGGGGCGTGCCGAGGCGGGGGTGGTCGTCGGAGCGGTGGAGCGCGAGGCGGACCGGCTGGCGGAGGCCTTGGTGGGCAGGGTCAGGGTGCCGTTGCTGCCCGCGGGGAGGCTGGCGCGGCCGCGGGACGGCGACGCTTCGAGGTCGCTGATGCGCTTGACCAGGTCGGCCACGATACTGCGCAGGAAGGTGATCTCGTCGGCTGCAGAGAAACGATTTAACGGTTAAAATTGGAAGAAGAGAATTTAAAAATTAACTAAATATTTTCCGATTAAAGTGACATAAAAAATCAAATGTTGACCAAATATTTTCGGAGTAAAATAAAAAGATTTAAAATTAACCAAATATTTTCGGTTAAAATGGCAGAAAAAAATTTAAAAATTAACTGAACATTTACCGGTTAAAATGGCAGAGAAGATCTAAAAAATAATTATTTTTACTAAATCTGATTTCATCAGTTATTGCGCAGGAAGGTGGTCTAGTCGGCTGCAGAAAAACGATTTAAAGGTTAAAATTACTGGAAGAAGAGAACTTAAAAATTAACTAAATATTTTCCGATTAAAATGGCAGAAAAGATTTAAAAATTAACTAGATATTTTCCGATTAAAATGTCGGAAAAAATTAGTGATAATTAAACTCTTAATTATTATGCTGGGAATTAAAGATTATGATTAATTAAATTAAAATTATGGCAATTTTGATTATGATAAGCAAAATTAAAACTGGGAAATTTTAATTATGCTCCAGCTTAATTAAAATTGTTGAACTTTGATTATGCTGATCATTATTGAAATTGATAATTTTCAATTATGATAAGCTCAATCAAAATTACAAGCAAAATAATTATGATGAGTTTAATATTCACTAGAAAAAATGTAAAAATTAACTGGATATTTTCCGTTTAAAATAACAGAAAAGGTTTAAAAATTAAGTAGATATTTTTCGGTTAAACTGGCAGAACAGATTTAAAAATTAACTAAATATTTGTCGGTTAAAATGGCTGAAAAGACTTAAAAATCAATTGTATATTTTTTGGTTAAAATGACAGAAAAGCTTTAGAAATTACCTAGATATTTTCTTGCTTTAAAATGGCAGAAAAGAATTAAATTTAATAAATCTGATTTCATTAGTTACTGCGCAGAAAGGTGATCGAGTCGGACGCGGAAAGATATTTAATTTGCTTAATTAAATTCAAGTCAGAGTGTAGGTAGCCCATATGCGGCTAGGCCCCGCTAGGGTGACAATCTACACGTAGACAGCATGGGATTTTAAAGCTGGCTGGAAAATTAACAGAAAAATTACTAACAGGAGAAAAATCGAAATTTTACGGTTAAAGCCGAAAAAATTGTGTTGCTAATGTAAAACTAATAAACAGCTTCTTTGTCGTAGCGATGAATTCCCGATATTTCGATTCACTTTTATAACGCACCCTGCCGGTACTCCAATGAATCCCGTACACTACGACATTCACATTTACCACATTCACAGTCACCACATTTTCACGGCAAAATTATTAGAGCAGTAATTAAAATCTGTAACACAGGAAAAAAGTAAGTAAAAAACACACAGAAATCTGTCAAAAATCTCTCGAAACGAGCACCTACTACCCACCATGGTTTAATGTTTGAGAAAAATAACAGTACATAAATATTACAAACAAAATATCAAATATAAATAGTTCTGTAAATACTGATGAACATAAGTAACTCAAAAAATAAAGAAAACACAAATAAATACGTAATAATTATATTTTAAAATCTATGTCCCTCCTGCGCACCTTGGGAATTGACTCGCCGTTCCAGTTCGTCCAAGCGATCCTTGTCCCCCTCGGACAATGACACATGTTCGTCTGCAACGAGCGGAACCAGTCAAAAATCACAGCTCTACCCGTTTTTACCTGTTGCCGCACGCCAACTATACCGCCATAAAACCGGCCCGATCAAGATCATTAATCACGCCACAGAGCGCGTTTGCACCGCGTTACGATTATCAATAATACGAGTACGATGCCGATAAGAGCGGAACAATCTGGCGCTATTATTTGCCCACACCACTTCATCTCACCCTTCGAGACGGAATATGCAAAAAACCGGCCAGACAAATTTATTCCGCCAACCCGGTGATTTTTAAACACCAACATATCGTCGTCAAAATTATTCGAAAAATATTCGGAAAAAATCCGGGGAAAAAGTAAAATTTATCCGCGGCCGGATGTCAGACCACACAATGGCAAAAGATTTTAAAACAATTTTTTTCTAAAATTTCATCTAAGTCCAAAAAACCTTTGTTGTTCCAGGATATTTCACGTACTCATGTATCATAAAAAAAATGGTTACAAAAAAAATGGTTACCACTGCGAAATAATTAGAAACATTTTTTTTAAATTTACTGCAGAATTATTATTTTTTAATTCGGCATGCTGGCCACCTTGCATAAAACGTTTGGTCTCCAGTTTAAAAAATACAGCAGTAAACTAATTATAAATGATGTAGCTCTTTAAAAATGCACTTATCCTTATATTCATGTCACTGGCTAAAAATTTCCAAAAAATATAACAACTAGTCAATGATTTCACGATCCGAGATTTACTGTACTGGTATCAACTGGCCATTTTCAAATCTTCCAATCTGCGACAGTCTGCTGTGCCTCTGTACTACAACATTCCCCATAAAATTGTCGACGCATGTCGGCAAGATCAGTCCACAATCACAGGCAAAATTCACAAGCTCAACATTCAGCCATTCTAATACGATGTCACGCTTTTCCGTTACTCGAATAAACACTAAACATAAATAATAAATTTAAATAAATTCTGTACTGTTATATTGTCTTGTGCAATCTATAATTCAATAATATTTAATGATTATTATTATATAGCGTTATACATCGGCAACGACGTACTTTTTGCCGGTATATAAAGTGTTTTTTTATGCAGAGTAATTATGGATAACAAATTGTGTCGTTACTCGTTACATAAATGGTGAAATTCAAAGCATGCTCCACTTGTTGAACAAACACGCACACTTTACATAAACACTTCCGCTGCACAGCACGGAGAACACTCTGCTGGCGTACCTGAATACAATGATCCGTCCATGCTTTCCTTCACACACCCGAGACACCGCGTCAGCCGAAAATGCTCATTAAATTCCCCGTTAAACGGCCATCAAACACGCGGGCGGTGAAGAAATTCGCGAGAAACAGCGCCGGCGCGCCATTGCGCCAATAATGTCCGGTTTGCGGCGTTACTGCATCCAAACAATTATCCGGATATTTTCTCACCGCTGAATTCGAAGAAAACTAAAAAAAAACGATTACGAAGTCAAATAAAAATGTGCAAATTATGACGAGTAATTCATGATTAATTATTTTATTAAAAAGTTAAATAAATTATTCTATTTTTGATATCGTCTATGAAGATGAGAAATAAATAAATTTAAACAATAAAAACAAATATATAAGCAGCGCTATGCAAATAATAATAAAAACGTACGGTGAGTAAACAGAAATAATAAATATAAAGATAAAAGAAATTCCAGAAACCTGGTAAAACAATTTTTATAAATAAGGTATTTAATATCAATTTCCATTTATTTTATCGCCAACCTGATCACTAGAAAAGCGATAATAATGTGGCATAATTATTTGTATGCCAAGGAAAAGTCGCGAAATTTGTTTACCGATATAATTCGGCCCGCAGCAAGATGCGAGGCAACCTTGAAGTTCACCTGGCATTTAGCGCAATTACTGTCGATTGTTAAAAATAGCCCAAAACGACCTTGGCGCCGAAATTGAGTAAATTCTAATTGAGCGTCACCAGAAAACACTAAATCCTTGATTAACCTGGATCCGGGGAAAAAGTAAGAACTGCACAAAAAAATAGTTCTTGAAAACGAGAAATTATCTTTTTTTAGACTTATATTACCAACATAATCTTTTACTTCTCTAGGGTTAATTTTTCAGCAGTATTTTTATTTTTTCAGGTTTTAAAATTTTTCTTTGATTTTTTCGCGGCTTTGGAGAGTAAAATTATTACTTATCTGGTAAAATATTTTATTCTAAACAAATTATTAATTTGTTTATAAATTACGATCAAAGCATTTGTAATCAGCTGTCTCTGAGACTTGTGAGAAATTTCATGAAGCAAAACACAAACATGAAACACCAGAAAATCTGTAACAAATTTATTTTTTATCATTTATTTACAACTTGCTGCACTGCTATTAATTTTCAAGCAAAGAACTCACCGATTTCGTAGAGTGCTGGCACAAAACTCAAAAATGATCAATCCTGGCGTTACTCCAACCGCATCAACGGGAAACCGATGGCCAAGAAAGTACACAAACAGAGATCATCGAGTCAATCCAATTCTCACCGGAGAACGTACGCCAAGAACAACCGCGATAAACCTGGGAACACATACACACACGGTACCTGGCACACTACACCGTGCAGGCAGAGAGTTCACAGTGTGACAATTTGACGGTGCTTTATCGTCTACGCTCGTTACCTGTGTCAACGTGAAATTATCGGCGATGACGTGCACTCACTAGGCGAGTACACCGAGTCGCGGCTGTTGTGTGAGTGTGCATACAGGTGGCCCCAGTTAATTGCTGTGTGACTCATGCCGATGTCACGGCGACTCCACGTCGTACGCGTTGTAAAGAATGTGCTCGGCGCCCGCAGGCGGTTGCCCATAGAGTCGAGAGCAATTCGCGCTTTCAGTTTATTGCGAATTTCTCCATAATCTTTGTATTATTCACTTTAAATTGCTCTAATCCAATAAATATTTGGCAGTGCATCAAAAATATTTCTAATAAGGAAAAATTTCAAAATGGTTTTGTTTTGCAAGTACTTCTACACAAAGAAAAGTACAAACTGTGTATATGTAATCATTTGTCGAAATATTAGACTTTTTTAAACGTAAAGCTCGATCGATTTACCGTATGGAAATAATCCGAATGTGTAACAGAAAATTGAGGAATAATTTGGATTAAATTCAGTAAATGAATTTTATTTCATCCGTACACCAGTTTTTACTCAAAGTACTAGAACGTACTTTTAAAAATTCATATACATTTAACTGTCTGACAGAGAAGACAATAAATTGCTTAATAACAACGCAGAAAAAAATTAAACGCCTTAATTAACAGCGCGTTGGATTGCACCACTTCCAAAGGTCACATGCAATAACAAAAGCTGCAGTTAATAATCCACCAGTATGAAGGAATAAATTTAGCAATTTTTGGCACAAGACCCGTTAGTTCACGGCATCGCCACCGGCGGGGCATTATTAACCGGCACCGGCGCCGGCTTGACTTCCGGCGCGACCGGCACATGCGACGGCTCATTCCCGAACGGGTTCGGCATCATCTCTAGCGGCGGCAGCTTCCCCTCCGCCTGCTGCACCGTCGCCGGACTCAACCCGCCATTGGCCACCGGCCGTCCCGACACCTCCTTGTTACTATCCCCGACAATACTCGGCAGCATGTCCCGTCCCTGGGCGACGGCTGGCGCCTTCTCCGGGCCCTTGGGCTGGATGTGCATGGAGTCGGGGTCGGGGACGGGCTGGTGGATGGCCTCCATCAGAGCGTCAATGTGCGTGGCGTTGGGATGGACCAGGGCGGTGTCGTTGGCGCCCACCGGGTGGGAGGTGTTGATGCTGGGCGCCGCTGCCGCTTGGGCCGCGGATTTCTCCAGGGCGATCTGCATCGCCGGGTCGGTGGCGATGGGGTGGTTGGCCTCCAGTGAGAAGCCGTTGGTGGAGGTGTTGGGGTTAGGGAGGAGCACCGGGTGGAGGTCCTGGTGGACGGCTTGCAACGGCCCCGGAGGGTCCTTGCTGGGGATGGAGATTACGGGTTCGGGTGCGGGGATGAGGAGGAGGGAGGAGTTTGTGAGATCGGTAGTGTTCTCGCTAATATTATCACCCTGGAATAAAAATAATAAATTATCTATTATTATCATTCAATATTATTATTTATTTTTATTATCAAATTGTTTATTAAGCTGTCCGTATTACATACCTTGACGAAACACGCAAATTTAATTAAGTGCTGTATCACATTTATTATTAACTAAATTTAATTTGATATATAATTTTATTTATTCATAAATAAAAAACTGTCTCTTCCTTTCTTTATCGAAAAATGCATGAAATTCAGTTTTTCGGTTAATAAATAAAACAAAACCAGTTTAATCCAGTTTTTTTTAAATAGCTGGTGCTGTCAGTGGAAAATATTTCGTTATTTAAGTTATACTCAACCAAAGCCCAAGAGTCACCTAACAATTCTAAAGCATACTTATAAGTATATAAAAAAAATAATAAACGGTATAAGTATATTCGGATCATGGGAACGAAATATTGAAATTTTATGTGCTTCCTATGTAAAGACTGGATTTGCGTACCATATTTAAGAAAGGCTTGGCATGACAGTACGACGTCTCCCAAATGGCCAAAAACAGTGTCAACAAATTCCTTCGGCGCAGCATCTTCAAACCACTTAATAACCGAGATTATTATCTTATCAACAAAAGTGTTCAAAAGGCGATTACGGATAACAAGCAGTCATTCAGTCGATCGCCGCAATTAAAGATAATAGCCCTGCAATTATCTTATACAGCAAAAAATATCAACAATGCCACGACGTTTAACCCAAGTACAATTTAGACTGATGAGAGATCTCACAGAGAAAATACTGCAATGTACAAGAAATATGCCAATTTCTCAAGAGACAGAGAGAGTATGTCAGCGTTGTCACGAAAGCGGAAATATCGCTGAAAGTTCAAGTACACCTTGAAGACGGTGGCAGTTGTACGCTGTAAGACGCTTTTATACATCGTCCATTTGGACCACTGCAAAGCCGGTTTTTGCCGCTCGGATGCGAGGGAGATAGATCGGCGGTGTGACATTGGCATATACCGGTGTTTTTCTTGAATCCGACTGCATACAGTGGCTACGTAATCTTCTTAACACACACGGATAATTGAATGTTGAGAATTATTCGGCTTGAATAATAAATACCCGGTGAATAATCATTGAAATGGAGCAACGAGACAAGACAAATGCCGGCGTAACCAACCGCGTATTGTTCGATACGGCAAATTCCGCTGCATTATGCAGGCGCGTAATTTGGCTTTACCAGAACTTCGATAAAAAATACGCATAAAGAATGAATCTGGCAGGTTATTTAACTCTCAACGTTATTCTGGTAAAGGTTTTTATACGGTGTCTATAATACGGCGAAAATGTTGCAGTGACTGAACTCAAAAAAGTTCTACAATAAGGTCACTTTTATACGCTCATATTGATCTAAAAGACACGCCCAACTTTTTACCACAAGCGTTCGTATACTTTAACCGCTTACAAAACAAAATATGTATACTTCGTATCACACTATTTTTTAAATATCTGTATATTAAAGTACTGTATATATAGATTTGCGTTATAGTAGGTTGTGCAAGCTACACCTTTGTGCAGCGGGTCAGCGACTCAGCATCGGTACAATAGTCGGTTAGTCACCGATAACAAATTCTTAATTGTATCAGTTTGTGCCTTAATTAATGGAGATTGCTTATTGTTCTATATCACCGCTTCATTAGCGATTAAGAGCTGCGTTATCCGCCAGATGTACAGCTTTCTATAGCTCGGTAGAATAACTTATGTACTGTCAGATCAGCAACATGTACTTTCAGTATTTGTACAGATCTGCTTCATTTTGACTGCAAAGTTTGTTGCTACTGAAGTCCACATTTGTACATGTTCGTGATTTATGTAAAACCGCTTTGGTTTTGCACAGCAAAATGTGCTCAACCATTCCGGTTTCCATCCTAATGCCACTCCTGATGGGCTGGCGGTCAGCATCAGCCGACCAACCATCTGGTTGCGGTAACCCGCATCCCGTCGGATTCAACGACGACCGAACCATCAACCATGTAGTCTCCGGAGGTCTCGACCGTTACTACGCCATCTATGTTCCTCTCAACTATAACGCCGATACGAATCAGCGGCGACCTTTAATCTTCGACTTTCACGGAAGCGGTGGTTCCCCGCAAAAACAGTACGAGAACTCCATGTACTACGACAACCCAAAGGGCAGCGAGTACATCGCCGTGTACCCGACCGGGATTAAGAAACACTGGCAGGGTCCGTCCTACGCCGATCCAACGGTCAATGATCTGCAGTTCGTCACGGACCTCCTCGCCCACATCGAAGCGAACTACTGCATCGATCCCAACCGGATCTACGCGTCGGGCAAGAGCAACGGAGGCGGTTTCGTCGACACCCTGGCCTGCTCCGATCACGGCGACCGGTTTGCGGCGTTCGCCATGGCCGCAGCGGCGCTTTACACCGACAACGAACTGAACGGGTGCCCGAAGAGACGAGCGATCCTGGAAGCCCATGGCGAGCAGGACACTACGATCCTGTATCACGGGAGCGATGCGGCCAGTGGCGGCAGCGTCCCCGATATCCCGACGTGGGTTCGGTGGTGGGCGGAGCGGAATGGCTGCGATCCGGCGGTGGATGGATCCGTGTCGGAGGACCTTGGCGGTTATGATGTGACATCGTATTCGTGTGGCGGTATGGTTAATATTGTACAGCACTATAAGGTCCACGAACTGGGACACTGCTGGCCCAGTAGCAATGGAAAGAACTCCGATAGCGAGCGAGATGTCTGTGCTGATCGTTCGTTGGATTTTACGGCAGCGGTCGTGGAGTTTTTCGAAAAGTGGACATCGAGTTATACCTAAGAACTGCAGTACGGAAAGATTCAACCAAATAATATTCTTGTGAGATCAGAAGTCGTCAAGCCGATGGAGTTTTTGTTGTCACATTCTTGTAGTGGAGTCGCGGTAAACGTTTTCATCATGACCAAAGAACCCGCAGTATCGATATAAAAGGTTTTGCCGGTGTTAAATGACGTTTGTTTGAATATGCACGACACCTTTGGAAAGGTAAAAACAGCAGCACTGTTTTTGTCACCCGTAATATCGTAAACTGATTACCGACGCCGGTTATTTATCTGTGCACTTTACCGACGCCCATTTGTTGATCTAGAATCAACCTGAATGCTCGCGCTCAGACCGCTTTCGTATTTGGTGGAGCTACGCAAAAGATAGTTGTTCAAATTTAATTTCGAAACCCACTGGTCATCATTTTATACATCTCTCGCATTAATGAGACGCGCCACGTGTCGTACTAGTCCCGTGAGCCATCAACATTACGCAACAATTATCATGTTCACATTTCGCGAATATAAAGAAATTCTATTCGCTCATGGTAGCTACTATAAAATATCAATCATACATTAATCATATGATTAATGTACTGTAGCCGCTAGATGAAATGGCACCACAGAGTCTGGTGTACGAAAAACAGCGCACACGCTGCAGTGACATGTATGCTGTCCGGCACGGGGCAGGCAACGGCCGGATCTAAAAGTGGTGCCATTTCATCTAGCGGCTACAGTATGTATCTCCGAACGTGTAAGTTTTTCAACGGCCACTGCCGACCGACGATTGCTGCGGCTCAGCGAAACTGTACTAGTAGTTTACTTTGTGATTGCTTCATTTCGCATCAACAATTTAAACGATATCTGATCAAAATATCCACTGTAAGGATAATCTGATTAAATGTTAAGTGATTATGTTTTCGTGGACTTAAGACGGTTATTGTGATCTAGTAATCGTGATCTAGACGATGCCGTGGCGATTATTATATAAACAGTCCGTCAAGCGATTCTCCCGGCAAACCACATTAAAATGTTTTTGGATCTACACAAGTTTTTAGCGCTGGCGCGGCCCCCTTCACCAGCTGTTATTTAATTTGCTATTTTGTGTGTTTAAAACGGCTTCGTGGCGGATACCGCATTGTGCTGCATCGCCAGCCCATATCAAGCAGCTATTGTCACTGGGTATAGTAACTATCGCTACTTGAAATGGACTGGTATTATGTGATACCAAGGAACTGCATTTTTTAATCACGTCAGGGATCATCAGTTACTGACTTACTGTAAATGGCGAAATCGGTTGCTACCCTAGTATTTAGCTTATCGCTACCGTATAAAAGCATAAAGCAGGTTTATACCATTCAAGTTAAACTTTCAAAATTTTTAGCAGAAAAGTCCATAAACTGATTAGAGCGATGAAGGATACTTTTATTATAGGTTTATAGAACTGCAATCATAAATGTATTCCGATGATGATACCGTTGCACATCCATTACTATGCAGAAAACCTTTATTGTTATACAGTATAGACTCATTACGGAGAAAAGATTTTTTGCCTTCTACTCAGTTTTCGATGTCAACGAAAAGGAATGAGAAACGAACGAGTATCGCCGCGGAAATGCTTTTCTGCGATGCACGCGGTGAAAGCAGAATAACTAATAACTATCCTATCATCGACATTAAAAGCCATTTTGCTCGCCATGTATTTCGTGGCAGCACTTCACCGCGCACATTCATCGATCGGAACAGCAGAAAATTGCTAGTTAAGTAAAACAACCGCGCATTGGACTCCACCGGCTCCTAAAAAAATGGTTCAGTGTAGACGGTTGTTTAATCCTCAGAACGATTTTTACAGTCTACAGTACGAGACGTGCCGGGTCCATTACGAGCATTAATTGTGCGCGGGTGTTCAATGCAACCGAGTGTTTAAAATCACCGGTTTTCCTATTACTGCTTTACTGAGACGCTGTCGCAATTGGTCCTCGGTGTACAAAATCAAATTACAGTACTTGAAAACCATATTCAATGTCATGCTTTTGCCTGCTTTTGCGGAAACGTTTCCGTAGTAGTTAAGAAGGGAGGCGACCTCGGTAAACCAGGATAATGGAGTACAGCGAACAGCCTGTATGTCTGTGCATCGGTCCGTTAGATTCAACGCACAGCACAAATTACAAAACGCAAAGCGTTTTAATAAATCATGGACGTCACGGCAAATGATAAACGCTAGGATATGCTAGCATACGCTAAATGTTAGGGTAGCGGTTAGCTTTTACGAGTACAGTCTGCACGGCAGCATTTTTGCATGCCAGAAATTCAGCAGAGCTGAAAAGCACACAGATTACTGTGTCCGCAAAATGTATGTTTTGTCGCTTGCTTTAGGCGGCTCCTCCGCTTCCTCGTACTTTTCGCCAGAATTTTGCTGCAGTGCACACTGGTTTTGCTCTGAGGGTAGATGACGTGATGTACGAGTGCACGTACGAAATGTACGTACACGAGATTCTGCAGTTCTACCTACCAGCTCACACTAGACAAGGAAATTAGGATTTTTTAATGTTTCAACTTTTATTGACAAACTCATGTTACTTATCTGACAACGTCTTACTCGCATCGGCCATGAAAAATGACAATAAAAGTGAGAATGCATTTTACCGCATAAGCCATAAAACCTCGCTTGGAGGGTCGGAAGACACGGTACCGAAATCGACTACCTCGGTACTTTTTCTTGCTTTTACCGATAGCGTTTGGAAAACTACAAGGTACTCAAATGAATTAATTGGAAGTTAACAAAGAAACATTTCTTGGACTTCAATATCTGTAACGAAGCTGTGGAAAATTATGGTTAGATACTGTAGTATCGCGTGCGGTCATCGGGCGCTGTCCAGATAAAAGTCGACGGTACCATTGGCACGGTATGTTCCAGAAAATACTCGGCCATCATAGACTGGGCCTGTCTGCGGAAGAGGAGCTAGCAATGTTCGAATGTTGACCGGCAGTGCGCTGATGTTAACGGGCGATGTGGGGATGATGTGGGTTTGACGTCTTCGTCCTTCCGGGGATGCGGTGTCTTCCCATTGAAACCGAAGATGGATCTGACGGTTTGTAGCAGTCGTTGTCGGTGTCGTCACAACACTCGAGGCCGGTATCCACTGGCCACTGCCATCGCAGATAATTGTGTCACAGCTCCGGTATGTCCGGGCGTCGTTTTGATCTATTTTGCATCAATACTCTGGCAGACAGGGAAGCAGCAGTAGTACGATTTTGTGGTTTAAAGTAAACACATACGTGAGTAATTGAACTACTTCGTGATAAACTCACCTTGCGGAGTTAAAAGTGCGGTGGACATGTGTAGTAAGAATATACTGAACCCTGAAACTGCAAGATGGGATGGCTTAATTAGCTCGCGTAGGATCTGCGGCATGCTGATGTCACTTCGGAAATTATTCAAATAGAAATCCAAGGGAAGGTAGAGTGCAACCACGTACCCGACGCAGAGCCATCTGCATTTAATGAGTTTTGCAAGAGAGAGAAAATGCATTTTGCCCCAGGGACTATTTTGATTCGGCGCCTGCACTTTCTACGAGGAGATATTGTATAATTAGCCAATAAATGCCGAAGGAAACTAACCGTTTGCCGCTTATGACAGAACATGGATGTCTAAACATCGAATATCGGTTTTACCGGATTCCAAAATACTATCTTCCACAATTCAACACTGTATCACCGTACCACAATAGAAAGTACACGCATCGCAACAATACCGGTTGGCTGCTATTCTAGCCGCACATTAAGCCTAAATTAATTAAAATCACGCATATCGCGCATTCTAAGCCTTGCCGCATCCGTTACTGACAGTCAGCTTAATGTTAGGATGGTTCCGACCGTGCCAACCATTCCCTCAGACGACGGATCGCGGTTACACAAGATAGAAACGATTTAGAAAAAAATCAGATTGAAAAATCTTTAGACATCTTGAAGGCACATCTTGTTGTTCGTGTTATAATATTTTTCACAATACTGCACTTGTCGTTTGACCCTGAAAAACTTTTTCTTTATCTCCACACCTAAATGCCGGAATTTTGAAAATGAACGTCGTAAAATTTTGGAAATACTTTAGTACAGCTTTTAATGTGTACGATAACGAAATACGTAGCGAAGGTTAAGAAAGCGGCTTTGCGTAATTATGTAATAAGCGTTTTCAATTCATGGACTGGCATTCTGTAGTTTAGAGAAACATAACAATACCATCTTGAACAAACTTAGCTTTTTATTGAGACGGAATTACGGTATGTACGAAAACTACATGTATAGTCAAGTGACAACTAGAGTGGCATGCATACTCTTAGTTTCAGTACTGAACTACTGTAAGCGAAGTATCAAACTTGCACAACGGTTTTGGTGCAGGCACACTGAACCGATGGTGAGTTAAGGGTAGGAGTATTGTTGGGCTGTGGTGCAAGTGTCCTTCATGACTTTTTGTTCAACTTTTTGTTTCTTTTTTAAGAAATCGCATCAGTTGCAAGGTAGTTTTTGTTGAGCCAAACGGTAAAATACCATTTCTTCGTTACTTTTACAGATCGCTGGATGTATCTATGTCTTGTTAGACTAAATGAATTGCGGTACCTTTATCGCGGTACTCTGCATACCGGATTAATTAAACTTTTGTCAGAGACGGTAAATATAATTACCGGTCTCACTAATATGTGGATTTTTGTTTCCCTGCAATTCAATGCATGCAAAATCCCCAGTTTTGTTTGTTAAGAAACTTTTTCTTAACAAAGGGAGATGTGATGCATGGCAAGATATGCCACTACAATGTCGTACTACATACTTGTTGTATTTGTGTGCTTCTTGTCGTTTACGTATTTAGTTGAAGAATTATTAAAGAGTACGAAAATTCACGTCGTGACAGATTTGCTGGGCCGTCAGATAATGCGCGTCACCTGACAACTCACAACCCAGTATGGTCTGGTGACTCTGGTCTGTTTGACAATTGATCAGCTATGATTTGATCGTCTTCAGGTAAATTACCGACAAAAGAGTAAAATACCTCGTATATTAGCGTCTGCCCGTTGCCGTAACTCTACGTTGGAGTACAGAAAAACATTAGTCGATTTGCGGTGACAAACTGCTCTCACGAAATCCGATACATCCAAACAACTGACGTAGAGTCCGCTCAGAATTAGGCTTTATATATGCAAAATAATCGTCACCGTGACGTCACGTCACTGTTTGGATGTATCGATTTCGTGTATAGTAGATGCAGTTTGTCACCGCAAACCCAATATTCATTCCTCTCGTACTCTTAGAGCATTGCATTGGTCTGTCAATCAAAACATTATACTGAGTGCGTTCTCAGTCTCACTAAACGTTCCGAACAGAAGCCGAGAACAAAGCACTCATAATATTTTTTTTAATGTAGTACTTCTACTTTGAACTTTGTTTTCGCTGAATAACGATGTGCCCATCTCAGTTACTTAACTCCAAAGCAATCCATGTCACAAAACTAGAATAATATCATTCCCGTTTAGCTAACCTAAAGCAAAGGCAAAGGTATACGTCTTCGTTCTCTACAGTCTCACTAAACGTTCCGGTATGCAGACGTACAAGATCTTGATCCAGGCAGAAAATCAAAAACAAATATTATTATTAATTGGCAGTAAGACAAATTTTGGCGCCGTTGTAAAAGGAGAATATACATCACAAAGGCCTTTAGAATAAAGTAGCAAAAAAACTGATGGAAAAACAAACAAACGAGATACATCAGATGCGTTCAACAAACCTTTGTTAACCAAACCGGCTGTGTGTAAAAGTTAATACAGGTATAAGGGTTAATACAGGTACATGTGCCACTGTTACTATTTTATTCAAAAATGGTATATACCTAACGCCTCACAGCCTATACGGTAATACATGCTGATTATCTTAACAGTGTGCAGAATATAAAAAAGTATTATAAACATAAATGATTGGAAAACAGTTTTTCTTTGCGTAGAGTTGGTTTCTCCTGTCATAATTCTTTTTACTGAAAATATTATATTTGGTATATAGTACTGTATTTGTCACTTGTGAGTTGTGAGTAATTTTGCTCTTCATGTGTAGTATCATAGATAGGTATTTCTTGAGGTATCCATACCTGAACTTCCTCGCAAAGAATTTTGCGACGAACCACACGACGTCCAGCAGCGTGGTATGTTGGGGAAGTATGCCACGCATGATTTTATTAAGTGCTCCCAGTAAACACTTTTGTTTACACGGAGTCCTGACATTCTTTTGCTTGTCGAGAGCTCCTAGTATTGCTGACTTTTGCTGTTGTACTTGTAAGCAGAATTTAAAATTCTCCAAACCACTTCAGGCGTCGGTGATTCTGTTATATGCATTACTGTACAGTAGTTCTTGTCTGGTGTCCATGTGCGTTTTAGTCCGGCTCGTTTAGCTGTGCAGTCATGCGATTTTACAAAGTAACTTTGCTGATCAGTGAGAAATGTGCCCTATAAAATGCGTTGCTGATCTGCCCTGGACGTACTGTAGATCAACATTTTGATGTGCTTTTCGAAAATAATTTGTCCATTTCGATTGCCTGGGCAACAAATTGCTTACGTCAATGGCTACTGCTCGGTGCAACGGGAGCGGAAGACATGTACATACGTTCGGGTCGTTACTTGGGATGATCGTTGCTTTAGTGGCACTCTTCAACATGGTACGTTTTGCGGCAAGTGTTGGGCCATTCGTAATATTTGCGGGGGTTTGAAGTTCTTAACATTTCATAATTGGTCAACTGTTTCCGTTCACAGGTCCGGAATAGTAATGCTGCCGACGGATGTCGTTTCCATGAGACAAATGCGACCGGGTTTGAAACCGTGCTGCCCGGGTACCGCGCTATGTTGATCTTGATGAGAATGGATTCAGGACGTGCACGCAACCCCGCAATGGCCCAGATGACGACGACGATGAAACGGACAATACCAGTGGTATACCAGTCACCACCGTTGCAGTTAATGTCACCTCGCCGACAACACGCGGTCCAGCGATGTGCACCTCCTCTGGACAGAAGTGCGGACCTGCCATTTACGCACCGTGTTGCAGCGGACTGCAGTGTGAGAATGTAAAAGCCTCAGAACGACTATGGAATATGCCACAGGAGGGTTGGCGGTTTCGATTTAACTGATTCGGACTCCTCTTGTAATTTCAAATACTCCACGTGCTTCCCGTGTGCAACTCAAGAAACTGCTCCAAACGCTCTTTTGTCGGAGAAGCTGATTACTCTGGCCTAACAAAACCGTTCCTATAAATTCTGATGACGACTGGTGAGTATCAAATTTTGTAGGTAACGATATCACGAACGAGTACTGTAGTCCCGGTAGATATAGGGACAACATGCCAAAAATCTGTCCAAAATTATAATCGTATTATAACGTGGCGCAGGCGTACGGTATCTATTGCAGCTACAAAAGCTGCTTTGAGCCTCACCACATGCAAGCGTCCGCTGTGAATCGTGGCATAAATAATGCAGTACTTGCTTTAAAGCATCTATTTTGTAGATGCCTTTATATTTTCGCTTTAATTTGAAACTTCAGAGCGTTTGTAGTTTATAAATTGTAATGTTGCATTGTGGCATTTGTACAGGCAGTACATCCTGTTACTCACTCAATACAGCGGCACAAATTGCACAACCCAGTAGGAAAACGAGCTTTAGGTGATATTGTACCATTCCTGCAAAAGGCTGGCACAAATAGGTCACATACATAATAATTATTATGATAATACTGCATGTGTTATGATAACACTGTATGTATTATTGTGAAGGATTGTATTATGTATAGTTTACTGTTACATCAACTTAATACTTATTGTAGAGGCAGCCAGTATTCATACTGACTGCTTCGTACAGATGTACGTCACCACAGCACATAATTATTATCAGTAACCAAGTAATTCTGGAATTAGCAGGGTTGTGGTAAGGTACACGCGACCAGGGTCGTTTTATATAAGGGGCGAAAATAACGCGGTCCACCGTTCTAGTTGACGTCACCCGCATGGAGTGTAACGTTACGGCAGTACATATGGTTACATCAGGCGTGGTACATAAGCACCATGTTTAACCACAACGTGAAGCACCGGCCGGGTGACTGCAGCAGTACTGGGGAACTGTGGACCGTGTCTGGTTTTGCCCCTATTTCACCACATTTATCATGATTTATGTACCAGTCTGACGAGAAAGTGAGCACACGTAAATAAAGCTTGTCACGTTGAGCTTGTATGTAGGACTACACTGTTCATACCGCTATTTGATATTCTACACGTTGCCTGTTTTTGTCTTATCAGACAAATGGGAGATACTGAAGATCCATCAGGCTATGGATGCCATACAGGAACTAACTGCTGGGTGTGTTCGATTCGCTGAACGCAAAAAAGTTAAGCCTGAGAAGGATTTCGTCACATTTGGCAAAGACGAACAGTTAAGATCACAGCGTTATAACATGCCGTTGGAACGCTTGTGACGAATATGTATGTGATTGCTTAACTAGATGCTCGGCGCAACTCGGGCGCGTTGGTGGTCGGCAAGATATTACTTTTACCTCTGAATGTTTAAAAGATCGTGGTAGCGTGCAACGATATCTGCTTCGGACATTGGGGCTTCCATATGAGCACACCCGTCTGGACCGCGATAAATACATCGTAGTCAACTCGGACAATATACTGCCAGGTACAATGTAATGCTGGAGCGCCTCAAGTTGTTTATAGTCTTCTTTGCAAAGTTTCCATTGTCATACGCACCTGCAAAGTTTTACGAGTACCCATCTCAATACTGCCATCGCCAATGCGCAATCCCCATAATGAACCACGTTTACGGTTAAGCCCATTAAGGTTACGTTTGCCCACTTTCAAATTGATTACAAGTGACCCAGCCCATATTTTTTTGCTTTTCTTGTGTGGCCGGGCCTAATGGTTTTTGTGTGACCGGCCGTTTTTCTATGATTCTGCTCCTACAGTTTGTTCGATTTAAATTCTGCTGTCGAAGTACACATATGTATGCATGCACTAAATTTTTATTTCCAGGAAAATACCTTTTCTGAAATCGTGTTTTAATTTTTCTGATGATGGTTAATTTTGCATTGCTAAAACACAAAGTGAAATTATCACACCGTTTTTAGAGTAAAGGAAATGCAACACCGGATAGAGACAAACCTCCCTCTGTCGACGTATTATGTCTCTAACAATGAATGTCAATATTTTTGTAGACCATCGATCGGAATTTGAGAAACATGCTGGTCCAACCTTTGGACTGCCTTATGATTACCTTTCCGTGTTGCATTGTGGAATCAACGAGTATGCAATCGACAAATTGTTTCCCACCGTTGTTCCACTTCTGTCCCGGACTCCACTCGGAAAAAGCTCAAATCTCAGCCCGTCAGATGTTGCGAAGCTCTCCCAGTTGTACAGTTGTAACAACAGTTAGTATGGGTGTTCGCAGCGCGGATGTGCGATTAATAGCTGACGCTAATATGTAACGGCAGCAGAATATTTTTTCCACTGCACTTTGAAGCAGAGCATATCGCAGATCCTGCACTAGTTTATTAATATAATGAACTGCATGTATTGTCTTGTCCCATTTTTTTTTCGTTGAACAATTTGTGTCCGAAATAATTCAATCATATTATTTCCTGTTTTGTTGTTGCTAACTTGCTGTGGAGTTCTCTCACGAAGATTCTACGGTTCACTGCGTTCTAGCATTGTGCTAGCACAATAAAATACTCACATTCTTCTGTCATTTTTTCCCTCGGTTTTTCGTTCGCACCGTGCAGCGTTTTTGCCTGCACAAGATGCTCAAAAAACTTGGACAAAATGTTGTGTGTCCTTATTGCTTTCGGTTTTCAACATTTTCGCCCTCAGACTAAGAGACTGGGAATACCTAGAGTGGTCTAGAGCCTAGAGTACATTTTTTACCGGTAGATTTTTTACCGTCTTACATTTTTTAGAGTACATTTTTTACCGTCTTATCAACCTTTTTACCGTCTTCTTGAGAGTACATTTTTTACCGTCTTATCAACCTACCGGTAGATAAGACAAGACGAGTCAAGACAAGTCAAGACAACTTTATTCCCCCAGAGCTTACGAAACCATGGATTAGAACAGGTAGATTAATTCTTCCAGTTCTCTAGAACACCCAACCGTTCTCAAAGCAGAAGGAGCGTTCCCACGCTGGTTTTTACACTTATACGCCGCCACAAAAAATTCAGTAGCGCGCGCTTTTCCTGTTTGTTCAGTAATGGTCCGGCCAACTTCACTAATGAACTGATAAGTACTGCCGCCACAACTTCCCATAGTGTCCAAGGCGACTGGTCGGAAAAAGTGTCGATCAGTGAGCTACAAGTGACGGAGAGATCGGTACGATAGGAATAATGACCGTAATAATCTATTGCTCAACAACAGAGCTGAGCTAATAATCTTAATGTGGCATAGCCAAGTCTACGAATCAGCGCAAACGAGAAAATGCATCTCCGACAATAAATTTAACAGACGATCTCCGACCACTGCAAAACTCAGAATGACACTTACGATCTGATGCAAAAATGCTGCCACACACGGATTTATATAGGCGCAAGGCATGTCCGCGTAGAAAACCAGACTTAACTCAAAACAACAGAGAACATTCTAGAAAGTAGAAGGAATAATAGCAAGTACGAGTAAAGGGATTCAGAATGTACTAATCACTACGAGAACGGCTATGTTCCGCATAAGTAGAGACACCTCTATCGGGTATCCGCGGCATCTGCTGTAGATTCCGCAGCTTCTGATGCTGCTACGTACGACGTAGTAGACAAGTAATAGTGAGTAGACAAGACGCGAGTGAATAGTAGACAAGACGACTTTGATCCAAAGATTTCTTTTGGCAAAGGCACAAGACGAAAACTCCTTGGCGATAACATAAGGAGTGTCTTAATCTGTTACGCCAACTACAGACAATTCGTGCCGCATATTTCGTGCGACTACCACTTATCCTGCGCAAAGTTTCAAAGAGATCTATTTCGTCTAAAAAATTTCTTGATGGCAGAAAAATTCCTAGATGTTTCCCATTTTCGAAAATTTCCATTTTACCGCTTGCCAGTCGCGAAATGTCATCTGCCATTTCCGGTGGCCATGACGACTGTAGAACAGTATCTGTACTTAAACTCAAGTAAAAGATGTACGACTTGTACACCATTTACTCTAGAAATTGTTTAAACTCGGAAAGGTGCGAGAACCAGTTTTTTGGCAAAGGAAATGCCTCACTGGGTCTTTGACAGAAATACCTAAATGCCTTGACAAAATTTACTGTAGTTTTGCAATCAGTGTCCCAAGAGAAAGACAGTGTTTGACTGCGTTGTACACCAACCTAACCCGTGTTGCACTGAATGGCGATGAATTGTGTGGGCCATTGATTTGTGTACAATGTACATATCTAAGCTAAAGCCATATCTTAAGCTGAATATACTGTTATATACATATATGAAAATCTTGCCGAATATACTTACATATCTTAAGCTGAATGTACATATCTTAAGCTGAATTACTTGGATTTTATTAATTTATTGCTCAGGATTACGCTGAAATTCTGACGTATTAACGCTTAATCACCCAATGAGCGTTCGCCACGCAGTTTACCTCACTGAAAATCAAATCAAGACAAGCAGATAACTTTAGTTGGTTGATTGTCGATGTTAACAAGTGGAGTAAAATTGGTATGATATGGACTGGCGTGGATTACGCCCGGAAGTGTCACAGGCACTGCGAGTGTTAGAGTTGGCGGGACCGTGCTCGTGGGCGTATCTGTCATGGCGGAAGACGACGGGTGCTACGCTTTCGTGATTTTGCTGCCGTAGTGGACGTTTCCGAATCGGCGCCAACCGATTGTGCGTGCTTCTGGTGTAATGTTTCAGTAGTATCTACGAAAGGAGCCCGTCTTGGTGAATCAGGGCATTCGATTGTAGCGCACAACTTGTACGTCTGCGCATCGTATGGGCTCAGCAGACAGCACCAGACTACAAATAAAAAATCATGAAGATAACAGCGAATGCCGAATATAGCAAAATAATACAATAATAACTAATAGGCACTTGTTGACAGCTCCTGCAACAATATCAGTCTGTCCGACAGAATTATCAGCTCTGAAATAAGCCATCATAAAAACAGGGGTTCCACGAAAACAGACCCAGAGAGAAAATAACTGGGCGTCTATGAAAAAGCAATAACAGAGCGTATTTATTTAATTATTAGGAAATGGTGGCCGAACAAGACAAGGTGAGAAAATTGGCGCTTATTACAAACGCGGCCAATAGTGATTCTGTAAAGTGAAAGAAAAATATTTGTTTGTTTGCTGCATGTAATACTATTCAAAAGGCGCCCTTGGTGGTGACTCGTGAATAACACTGTCTGGAGTAACACATGAAACTGGAGTATCTTACCCTCTGGTGCAGTGAAAACAGAGCTTGTGTCGACGCCGCCTGTTCGTCGTGAGAGGAATGCCACGGATATCGCTACCACAGAAAAGAGTAAGGATAATTTGACAGGGTCTCTTTGCATCGTGGATTGTTGTCAGCAATTTTGTTATTAGCAGTGCAGCAATACTTTTGCTGTTAAATTAATGCAGCGTTCAAAACGCACAGCCGTCTGTTAGAGCAGCTTTGGTGGGATCGCCTTCAGGCAGTTTATCTGCATTCGATGCCGGTACTTCCGTGTCTGTGTATCACTCCAATAATTACAGCAGAATTAAATGTACTTGAATTAGGCTGAATACGGCAGGCATATCATGGTAAGATGGCGAACATGCACTGCAACGCTGTACGTAGTTTTGAGTACGACAGATCTTCCCACCTCTCGTCGCCGGGGTCTGTGGCATCTGTCATCGGCTTCGACATGACATGTACCTACATGTCATACCGACGTTTATTATATACAGTTTTATATTATCTACATGTCGTAACGACATGTTGTGCAGCCGTCGTATCTGTGGTATAGTAAGTGTAGTGGACATGATGCCACGAGAATCTGTTATGTGCTGTGACCTCTGTGTGTTGCAATTGTCCGTCTGGCATGGCAACTGCGATAGCTGTAATGCCCTTGTAGTCCTGTTGACAACAATCAGTTGGATATGTGCGCCCTCAGTGGCGGGTTAACATTAAAGATACAGTACGTATCACCGCCACCTTCAAGTCTTGACAGTATCGCTGACGACATGCAACCGTTACAAGGTATAACGAAAAGCTGCAGTAACTGCGGTACACTATTTCTAAGATATCACTGTGAGCCGTATGAACTCACGCAAAGATTGTCTGTTTCAGGCTAGAATCCATATGACTTGCTAGTTTATCTGCACTTGGAAGCTTGGATACCCGAGGATCTAATTCCCGCTTGATCCAAGATGATCATTACACCGTAGCCCGTCTCATTTAAACGGACACTGCTCGTAAGAAAAGTGTCGTTACCGTATACAAGCGAATGAAGTGAGCTGCTACAGTAAGCTGAATTCGGTGCTATGTACCGGGCCAAATCCCTTAAGACGCATAAAAGGGATTTAATAGGTGCCGCGAAGTTCCATAAATAGAATATCAGTCTACCGATTGCTTCAGTTATTTATTGAAATTCACAAGCATTTCGTGCTTATGCCGTTGTGCGGAAATGTACCTGTACAAAGGCTGTAGCTATTAACTTTTCATAATGGGTACACGATGGAGCCGCACCGCCAGTCCATACCAAGCTGCTTTTGTCCCATGTTTACAGTCGAGTGCGTCTTGATATGGACTGGTACTATGCGGTACCAAAGAAGCCGTCCTTTGGAACCACACCACGAATCACGTTTAAATGGTAAAATCGATTATTTAGCTGGTCGGTACCGTACAAAATATTTGAGTAAGTTGTAGTCTACGCCAAAAACTTCTATTGGTCAACCATGAAAAGACTTTCATGCAGTCAGTCAGTTTCGTGTAAATTCGCTAAATATATAACATATCAGGCACTTGGCGAATTTTCTTACTATTATTCTTGCGATTTGGTTTTCGAAGGTCGACGAGATGGTAACGAGTGCCACATCACTGTCGAATGTCTTCGTGTAATGCACGATACTGAATATATAATAATAAACCGATCATCGATTTTGAAAAGCTGCTTTGCTAGCTACAGTAGGTAGATATTTCGTCGCTGTACTTTATTGATCGGCAGATTCGGCACAGAGTTTCGTCATGACTTGAAAGAGATGGTGACACCAGGTGATGCTCGGTGTATACCAATAAAGTACTTCTCCTCTTAGAAACCAGATCAAGGCAAAAATAAGGACAAATTTAGTCGGCTGATTGGCTAGTGTCGATATCAATAAACAGAGTAACATTGGCACGATACCGGCCGGGAGGCAGTTGACTGCCTGGGATTATACCACGAAGGACCACAGGGACTATCAGTGTTAACGTCGGCACAGTAGTGTTCGTGGGCACCGTTGTCGTTGTCGGGAAACGAGCCTTACGTTTCCGCGATTTTGAGACTACTGTAGTGGACGTTTTCGTAACGGCATCAACCCACTGCGCCTGCTTATCCGGGAAAGCTTTCGTGGTAGCAGGGGAAAGAGCCGTTGTCTGTTCAGCATGACAGTCGATTTTATCGCACTTCCGGTATGTCTTTGCATCTTCCTCGCTCAACAAGCAGCAAGACTACAAAGAGTACAATAATTACGGAGACTACTTCGTTAATAATAGCAGTCAGTACTCTGTACTACAACTTTTGCAAAGAAAAC